GCGACAGCATCCGCCTCTGCTGCTGCGCCCCAAGGCGGTGCTGCACAGGGAGCGAGTGAGGCTGCCAAGGCAGTGCATTACGGCATCATCTGTGACGGCTGTGACAAGCGCCCCATCCAGGGCAAGCGATACCGCTCCCTTGTGTGAGTGCATCGCCTTCTTCATTCCCAGCACACTCCTCTTGCTTCTTCCCGTTTTTTTTTTTTGCTGTTTTTTTTTTCTCTCGTTTATACTTTATAATTCCCTTGTTGTTACTGCCGTTCCCTTATCCGGGGCATGTGATCCTGAAGAGCTTTGCAATTCCCGTGCATGGCTTGTGCAGGAAGGACGACTTTGACCTGTGTGAGGCGTGCTACAGCAAGGCGGGGGTGGTGCCGGAGCACTATGAGTGCATCGACCGCCCTCTCTTCCGCCCCTCGCGCCTGCAGCACATGGCCGCCCACGCCGCTGCCATGGCTGGCTTGGTGAGCAGCGCAGCCGTTGCATGCCGCTGCTTGGATTGCACAGCTCACTCGCCCACTAGCTATGCTGCTTTTATTTTTCTCCGCTGTTTTGCGCTTCTTCAACGTTATCCTGCTCGTGCTGTTTTTTTTTTTGTTTTTTTTTTTTCTTGCACACTGCTTCTTCGCCTTGCTTATTCATATTTCTTGTCTCACTGCCTCTCTTTTCCACAGCAGCCGGGAGCAGGTCGTCCCTTCTTCGCCCCGCGCCCGCATTGCCCCTTCACGCACCACTCCATGCCGCACGCTTGGGGGCCTGGCGCTCCTTTCAACAAGCACCAGCATCATCACCAGCACCCTCACCACCACCCAAACAGCTCTGCTTTCACCGGCAGCTGCAGCGTGGGGGGGTCCGTGGGCGGAGCAGTGGGGGGGTCGGTGGGGCAGTTGCAGTATGGCAGGGCGCATGGGAGGCTGTTGGACGCGCGGTTTGTGAGGGACGTGAGTGTGCATGACGGCAAGGAGATGGCGCCACTGACGAGGTTCACCAAGATCTGGCGCCTGCGCAACAGCGGCAGCGTGCCGTGGCCCTGCGACCTGCAGGTCATTCACGCAGGAGGGGACCTGCTCTCAGAGACTACCACCGTGCCCCTTGAGGTGAGCTTTTTCTAGATGCCCACGGGCCATCCCTCATGAGGTTCACCAAGATCTGGCGCCTGCGCAACAGCAGCAGCGTGCTGTGGCCGTGCGATTTGCAAGTGATTCACGCGGGAGGGGACCTGCTTTCAGAGACCAGCACTGTGCCTCTTGAGGTGAGTCTTGATTTTTTTTGTTGGATCTCGTAGCAGTCGCGTGGAGCAGTCTGCAGATGGTGGACGCGTTAAGCTGCTCGGGTTCCACCTGAAACTCACCCTTGTGCATGGGTTTGTCATCTCTGCTGATTGTTCTAGTGCCCTTCGTGTGTGCGGTTGCCTCGAGGAGGTGTGTATCCCTTGCAGGGGAGGTGTGTATCCCTTGCAGGGGAGGTGTGTATCCCTTGCAGGGGTGTATCCCTTGCAGGGGAGGGGTGTATCCCTTGTGGCGGTGGACATGGCAGCACCAGCTCGTCCCCCTTCCTCCCTTGTCGTCTCCCACACTCATCCTCTTTTGCATTTTGTTGTCATTCATGCCTTCCTCTCTTTGCAGTTGCCACGAGGGGGCGTGTACCCTGAACAGGAGGTTGATGTGGCGGTGGACATGGCAGCACCTGCCCGCCCCGGGCGCTACATGTCTCACTGGCGCCTGCTGGCCCCTGGAGGCCCCAAGTTCGGCCACCGCTTCTGGGCCCAGATCCAGGTCAGTATAAGCCAAGTTAAAGGTCACCTTACGGTTGCTACATGTCCCACTGGCGCCTGCTGGCCCCTGGAGGCTCCAAGTCTGGTCACCGCTTCTGGGCCCAGATCCAGTGTACCTCTTGTCCCCTTCAGGTCGGGTTCAGTGCACACACTGCAGGACGTTTCTGGTTCTGGCCTTTTGCCTCTGTGTCTGTCAGTGCGCATTTATTCACTTATGTCTGTCTGTCTGCCCCTCTCGTGTGTGTGGTGTTCAGGTCGTGGAGGCCAGTGCAATGGATGAACAGCCGGTGCCTCTCCTTGCTGCTGCCCCTGCTGCCGTTCCTGCTGCTGCCTCTGCGCCTCCTGTGCCTGCTGCTGCTGCTGCCGAGTCCGAGTCTCCCTCTCTGCCTGAAGCCGTTTGTGTGAAGGCCAGCCCAAGTACGGAGGCAGAGAACGCACTAGCTGATGCTACTCCAGTGGAAGATGCTGCTGCTGGTGCTGCTGTTGTGGAGCAGGCAGGTGCTGAGGAGGCTGTGGAGGAGAGTGGCGTGGTATCTGTCGCGGAAGTAGCAGAGGAGAAGGAGGAGGCTGGGAGTGCTCAGGAGGAGCTGGAGGAGGAGAAGGAGGAAGTTCCTGTGGAGGCGAGTGAGGTGGTGGTGGAGGAGGAAGTTAAGGAGGTGAAGGAAGACATGAAGGCGGAGGAAGAGGAGAAGCCAGAGGAGGAGACGCAGGAAGAGAAGAAGCAGGATGAGCAGGAGTGGGAGGATCCGATCATCACTGCGATCCGCAACGCTGCGGATAACATCGGGTCGGCAGCCGCTGGTGCTGCTGCTGCTGCTGCCGAGTCTGATGTTGGTACAGCCATGGCCGCTGTTGAAGACGTGGTGATTGACGTCGCCCCTGCCTCTGTTGAACCTGCTGTGCCTGCGCCTGCTGCTGCTGCTGTTGCTCCTGCTACAGAGGGTGCTGCAACTGCTGCTGCTGCTGCTGCTGCTGAGGAGGACTGGACTGACCTGCGCATTCCTTCCCCTGCAGACGACACCACTAGCACCACCAGCAGCACCACCACTGATGCTACCACCTCGGAGGCTATCCCCCCGGCTCTCACCGCTTCAGACGTGTCTTCCACTCTCCTGCGGCCCCTTGCCTCGTCCTCCTCGGATGCTTCTTCATCTGTCAGCACCCCTAGGGCGGAGGACACTGCTGTCGGCAGCTTTTCTCTCGTGAATGTGTCCTACCCCTCCATTGCCTCAATTGCCTGCGTTGCGCCTGTTCCCGCTTCTCCTGCGCCCGGCCAGTCCCTGTATCCCTCAGTTGAGAGCATCGGGGTTTTGGTGCAAGAATCTGCTCCTGCTGCTGCTGAGGCTGCTGCTGGCGCGGCTGCTGGTGCAGTGACAGCGGATCTGCTGACAGGGGATGACTATGTGAACGTGTCTCCACCTTTTACTGCTGCGCCTGCTGCCATGCCGTCGCCTGCCAGCTTCCTGGACGAGGAAGAGGAGATTGAGATGGAGACCCCGCCTCTCATCGTCAACTCGTCCGCACCCGCTGCTGCCGCTCCTGCTGCTCCTGTGGAGGTTCCTGCTGCTCCAGCTGTTTCGTCTGCCCCGTCTGCACCTGCTGTGGCTTATGGGGGGAGATACGGCAGCCAGGTGCAGCAGCTGGTGGAAATGGGGTTCCCCTATCCTGCTCTGAATGGGGAGCTGATGGAGTTTACCAATGGGAACATGGACGAGGTGGTAACCATGCTCGTGAAGGTTACGACTGAGTGGCAGGAGAAGATGGACGAGCTGGAAGAAATGGTGAGTTTCTCTGTTTTATGTTTGTTGTTTCAGTCTTTTTTTCCCCCGCTCAATAATTGTGGTAGGGAGATTCTCAGGTACCAGTCTGTGCATTGGTGGTGTGGTGCGTACTGACTTGGTGTTTGGTGATGTGATGTGTGTGGTTGTCATGTGAGCAGGATTTCACGGACAAGGAGCTTAACATGCGTCTGCTGCTGAAGCATGATGGCAGCTACAAGCGCACTGTGCGTGAGCTGGTGGCCCTGGACAAGGCCAGCAGGAAGGCCGGCAGGGCGGAGCGTGCGTAATTACTTCGTGGCTGGTCGCGCGTCACAAGGCTGGTGCTTGGTCGCGCGTCACAAGGCTGGTGCTTGGTCGCGCTTCACAAGGCTGGTGCTTGGTCGCGCTTCACAAGGCTGGTGCTTGGTCGCACTTCACAAGGCTGGTGCTTGGTCGCGCTTCACAAGGCTGGTGCTTGGTCGCTCTTCACAAGGCTGGTGCTTGGCGGTGTTTTGTAGGTCTGGTGCCTGCTGTCCCCTTAACCAAGGCCAGCAGTGAGGCTGGCAGGGGGAGAGGTGGTTGTGGGTGACAGGGTAGCAGATCTTTGGGGTTTTGGCTGTGGTTGGGACGGATGGTTCTGTGCTGTTCTGTATGTAGCCTTGTATCTTCTGTCCATATAATGCAATTTGTTTGCTTCATTGGCTTTTTGTGGATGAGAAGTAATAATTGAATGCTGGATTTTACGGTAGGTGTTACGTGTGCAATTGAGTGAACGAACGAGAATTGCACTATTGAGGCAAGAGTACAATGCGCGAAGGCATGAGCGAAGAATATATAGCGAAACTACAGTGGTAACGGTAATGGACTATGGTTGTCGCGCGACGGGCCTGGTTTGAGGTTGGGAAAAGTGTCTAAGCGGAGGCCCGGAGCGCGGGTTACCCGCCGAGCCGTGAGGTCGGGGTGCGACATGCGAAGGTGGTGGGCGGGTTGTAGATGCGAGGATTGAGAGTGGTAACGGTGCTGACTGTGGCGCTACAGAGATGTACGCGTTGAGCAGGGACGAGAAGTAAGGAAAAGGAGATTTTCCTTACAGTAGGAAACCTTCAAATCAGCGTGACGCACGCGAAGGAAATCTTGAAGATTTACAGCTCAGCACAAGGGTGGGTGACGTGACCAATCCATTCTTCGCCAGGTTTCCCGCCAACCCGCCAATCCCCTCTGCGAACAGCACTTGGTTTCGGGATTTGCGAGAGGGTGAACAAATCCCAAGGCCGCACGGGGTGTTCTTGAGAAATATTCTCAAGTGTTCTTTTCTCTCGAGCTAGTAGGATCCCCATTTCGTTTTTCAGGAGTTCTTGTTGCTTCCCGCCAAGCCACGCTTTTGCTGTTTTCCTCGTCTGAAAGATTGGCAGCTGTATTGAGAGAGCGTCATCTCGTCCTTTCCCGACCGTCGCTTGGACCGAAACATGGCGGCTCTTTCCGCGTCTTCCGCGCTGACTGCGGCCAGACTTGCATCTCTTCCGTCGGCCCATTCTTCCTTCTCTCCGCTGCGATCGTCGGGAACAATTCCGCGGTTCACGTTCCGCGTACGCGCAGACGCAGCGGGCGGGGACGCGGAACCCGCGGTTGAGAATGCGCCCGCTCCGCCCAAGAAAAAGACGATTCGGCGCGTGAAAAAGCCGGAAGGGGGAAGCGCGGCGGATGATCTGCTTGCGCCGGGGCGATCTGTGGAGGAGCGCGGTGTGACTGTAGAGGGCGTGGCTAAAGTGGATCGCGGAGAGAGCTCGTCCACGCTCGCGTGAGTCACAATCTGTCGCACAGATCGTTCGCATAGTCGCAGACCACGCTCCATTATCGCACAGACCACTCTCTAGGTGGGCTAAAGTGGATCGCGGAGAGGGCTCGTCCACGCTCGCGTGAGTCACAAAAGAAGCACAGATCGTTCGCCATCGTCGCACAGTCCGTCTCCATTGTCGCCCAGACCGTTCCTCGTCAATGCGATCCAATGCGGTCCATTGCGGTTCATTGTCAGTTCCGCATGGTCGGAGGATGTGAAAATCTTTCTCCTTTTCTTGATCTCAAGACGCACATACAAGTCCTCGTGGGATCCCAAGAGAGGTTACAGATACTGCGAGAGCGAATTCTCCAAAAAGTTGGTGAGGTTTCTGTAATGATACAAAATGTAGTAGTGTTTTAGTAGCATCGACACAGGAAATGGAAAAAAGCTGCTGCTTCAGGCTTTCGGCATTGTCCCTGGACTTTCCTTTGTCCTTTTCTTTCCCACTCCCTCGTGCTCCCCCCTCCGCCAGGCGTGCGCTCCTCACAGCGGGCGGAGATGCGGCAGTGTTGATTCTCTTCGCCTACATCGGCAGAGCAACGCACGTGTCTGCTGCCATAGACTGGGAGCTCATCAAAACCGCCCAGCCATTCCTTGCTGGTAAGCACACTCTCTTGTTTTGGATCAGATAAAAAGAATTGGAAGAGTCACGCAAGTGTCTGCCGCCATCGACTGGGAGTTCATTAAAACCGCACAGCCATTCCTCGCTGCTAAACATGCGCACTGACTGGAACCCATAAAGACCGCTCATTGACTGGAACTCATAAAGACCGCTCATTGACTGGAACTCATAAAGACCGCTCATTGACTGGAACTCATAAAGACCGCTCATTGACTGGAACTCATAAAGACCGCTCATTGACTGGAACTCATAAAGACCGCTCATTGACTGGAACTCATAAAGACCGCTCATTGACTGGAACCCATAAAGACCGCTCAGTCGTTTCTCGTGAGTACAATGCTCATTTGCTTGCTCTCGTCCGTCTTCTCTCTCGCCTCCTTTCTTCTCTCAACCCCTTCGTTCTGTTTCGCTCTCTTTCAGAATTTTACTGCTCCAATCCCCACTGCTGCCACTCCCTGTTCGTTAATTATCTCTCCTCTCTCACTTCCTTTATCTGGTCGGTCGTCCCACTTCCATCCATCGCTAATCTCACTCGCCACCTTTACCCTCCCACACAGTCTCTCCCTCAACACACTCTCTCCCTTCACACATTCTCCCCCCACCAGGTTGGTTTGTCTCGGCCATCATATTTGGAGACTACAGTGTTGGCAAGCCTCTGCCCACTGCTCACACCACCTCATCCCTACCTCACACTCTTCCCCACCCACACTCTCTTCCCCCCGTACCCCTCACACTCTCTTCCCCCCGTACCCCTCACACTCTCTTCCCCCCGTACCCCTCACACTCTCTTCCCCCCGCACCCCTCACACTCTCTTTCCCACCAGGTGGTCATCTCCGTCCGCCATCTTATTCGGTGACGGATGGCGTAGACGGAGACTACAGCGTTGGCAAGCCTCTGCCGTCACCCTACTGCTCACACCACGCCCCGAACACGCCTCTCCCCCCTCCCCTTATCCCCCACTCTCTCCCCCCCCCCAGGCTGGTTCATCTCGGCCATCATTTTCGGTGACTACAGCGTTGGCAGGCCTCTGCCTGCAACACCAGGAGACGCTGCCAAGGAGGCAGGGAAGACGTGGGCGCTGGGCGTGCCGGTGAGTGGTGTGGAGGTGTTGAGAGGAGTGCTGGGGGCAAGTAAGGGGTGCACAGGAGCATGAACGCCAGGAGATGCTGCCAAGGAGGCAGGGAAGACGTGGGCGCTGGGCAAACCGGTGAGTGCTGTGGGTTGCGGAGGGTTCTGAGGGTTCTGAGGGTTCTGTGTTGGTGCTGGTGACAAGGAGGGGGTGAGCATGTTGTCGCCAGGAGACGTTGCCAAGGCGGCAGGAAGACTTGGGCGCTGGGTGTGCTGGTGAGTGCTGTGGGGGTGTTGGGAGGAGTGGCGGGAGCATTGCATGTGATGACGCTTCCAAGGCTAGAGGTAGCTGCCAAGGTGGCAGGGAAGATCTGGGCGCTGGGCGTGCTAGTAAGTGTTGCAGCAGGTGTTGTGGGGTGTGACAATGGGTGCTGTGGATGCGTCATGACTGCACTCTTAATGTTGGCCTGGAGGGCTGCCCTTTCACTCCTGATCATTTCCCCTTCTCTCCTCCTTCTCCCCCTTTTCTCCCCCCTTTCCCCTTTTTTTCCCCCTTCTCTCCCCCTCCTTCTCCCCAACTCCAGCTAGGCATCGCGTTCCGCAGTCTCATCAAGGGCCAGCCCCCCCAGCTGCCGTTCCTAGCAGTCACCATTGTCATGACCTCACTTCTCATTCTCGGCTGGAGGGCTGCCCTCACTCCGGCTCTGCCTTACAATCGCCCTTCTCTCCCCCTCCGCTCCCCCTTCTCCCCCACTCCTCTCCCCCTCCTTCTACCCAACTCCAGCTAGGCATTGCGTTCCGCAGTCTCATCAAGGGTCAGCCTCCTCAGCTGCCCTTCCTAGCAGTTGCCATCGTCATGACCTCACTGCTCATGCTCGGCTGGCGGGCTGCCCTTGCTGCAGCTCTGCCGGGAGATGGCGGGGAGAAGTCCAAGCTGGACCGCAAGGGGAGCGTGTTCGAGCTGCTGGAGGTGAGTAGTGGGCTGTGATAGACGCTGCCCTTCCTAGCAGTCGCAATCGTCATGACTGCAGTTCTCATGCTCGGTTGGAGGTCTGCCCTCACTGCGGCTATGCCTGGAGATGGCGAGGAGAATTCCAAGCTGGACCACAAGGGGAGCGTGTTGGAGCTGCTGGAGGTGAGTAGGTTTCGCTGTTCAGTGGGGATGTGGTTGAAATGGCCTCCCTCTCTATGACGGCACTCCTCATGCTGGGGGGCGGGCTGCCCTCGCTGCGGCTCTCCCGGGGGATGGCGGGGAGAAGTCAAAGCTGGACTGCAAGGGGAGCGTGTTGGAGCTGCTGGAGGTGAGTAGTGTAGGTGGGTGAGAGAGGTGAGTTGCAGCACTCTCCCTTGTCGCCACCAACTGCCCTCTCAGTGCTCTGCGTGCGATGAGTCGATTTTTTAGTCGACTAAAAAATCTACTCATCCCAGGTGAGTTGCAGCACTCCCCCTTGTCGCAACACAACTGCCCACTTAGTGCTCTGCTGACGGGCTGCCCTTGCTGCTCCTATACGGGGGGGTGGCGGGGAGAAGTCAAATCAAATATGGACCGCTAAGTGAGCGTGTTCGAGCTGCTGGAGGTGAGCAGTAGGATGGGACCAAATGTGATTGTTTGAGTTGACTCAAATATCCTCCCTTAAAAGTTTGTTTTGGTTACAGTTGCAGGCATTGCTTGTCAGATGGTGGTGAGGTCATAGGCGGTGCAATTGCAGTTGGGGCTGCGATGACTGAAAACCATGGAAGGTAGAAGATGGTCACGCTTGACCATAATAACCCTCCCTTCCACCGCACCCCCTCCCTTTTCCCGTGACGCTTTGGTTACAGTTGCTGACATCACTTGTCAGGCGGTGGTGAGGTGATAGGTGGTCCTATGGCAGTGTGGGCTGAATTGAGAACCCCGTAGGTCGAAGATGTGCATCTTGTAGTGTACCCAGTTTACTGTAGATTGCTTACGGTACATGGATAATAACCTGTAGCCGGACAAGCACACAAATAGTGCAGCTTGGTGCAAGTTTTTAACTGTGTTGGTGGGAGGGCAAGTTGGGATGGGGTACAAAGAGGTAAATCAGGTGATGGATGCCCAATCATGTGACATTTTCTGCAATGTATGCACTAATACATGAGCATCATGTGACATTTTCTGCAATGTATGCACTAATACATGAGCATCAGTTTCAGGATCATGTAATGCTAATGCTCCATATCAACCTTGACCTAATTGAAGAGTTCAATGAGTTCCTGCCTCAGTTTTTGCTCTAGTATCCAGAAGGGCAAAACTGAATGGTATTATAACATCTGTTCTAGGAGATACCATGTCAATATTACGTGAGCGAACTTCGTTATTGTCCTCACAGCCAGAAGCTTCGCTCACTCGTCCACTTTCGCCAAGCTCTGTGGGAGACGGGGCACATGCGAACGTGTCGCACGTTATCTCCATTCGCGGCTGCTGACCTGGCCGAGCTGCCACCCGACACAAACTCCTGCTATTCGCGGCCAACGGGTTTCCCCAAATCCACCCGGAATTACGCTCGTCCTGGCTGCTCAACTGCCCCTTCCAGCCACTTTAAGTGCAATTCTACACCTATGCTCCAACACAGAGCGGCCAGGAACAGCTCCTGTGCGTGAACTTAGTTCAGCTAAAGAAACGCTAAAGTTAGCGTAGGCCTCTGGCTTGGGTTACACCTTGTTTAGCCTCTGTGTTGTCTGGATTACGACCTTAATAAAAACTTAAAACTTAAACCTCGCGGCTGCTGACCTGGCATCGTACCCTCTTGACTGTCCTCCACACCGCACCACAGTGGCGGCCTTGACGCCCACAAAACCACCACAATCAGCAACACATTCATTGACGACACAAGCTTTCGCCGTAGTAACCAGATGTCGTAAATGTTCACCTTTTCCAGAAAATGGGCAAAATCAGTTCTGCGCATGACTCCATTTTCTGGCGGCAGTCACGCTTCCTAGCAAAAGGGCGCGTCAATTAGTTCCTAACAAAGAAGGGCGTGAATTGGATTCTAACAAGAGTGTGCGTGGATTGGTGCGGTGAATTACATTAATTCTTCATCACATCGTAGCTGATCCTAGTAGTGTTTCTTTCATGGCCGTGTCTCAAGCAGGTTCGGGCAATGGGGCCGACACGGCGCACGCGAAGAGACTGATAGCTGAGCGTGCTCGCGCTGACGCGGAAAAGGCTAGAGCTGCGGCGGAGGAGAGGCGCGCGGAGGCTGTGAAATTGCGCGTCGAGGCGGAAGTAAAGCAGCAGGCGGCGGAGGAGAAACGAAGGTTGGCAGAAGAAAAGCGGAGGATCGCGGAGAAGGCCAAAGAGGAGGCGCAAGCTCGGCAGGCGGAGGCGGAGAGCGCGCAGGCTGAAGCGGAGAGGAAGGCGGAGGCAGCAGCGCGGCGGAAAGCGGAGGCGGCGGAAGCGAAGGAGCAGGCGAATGCGGCGATGCAGCGCGCGGTGAGTGCGCGGGAGGAGGCAGATGCGAAGAGAGAGCGCGCGAAGCAGGCGAAGGCGGAGGCTGATGAGAAGAGGGAGAAAGCTGCGCAAGCCAAGGCAGAGGCAGACCGGAAGCAGGCTGAGGCAGAGCAAGCGAGGGAGACAGCCGAGGCTGCGAGAGCGAAGGCTGTGAGCGGGAGGGAGGTTGCGGAGAAAGCCCAGCAAGGGGCGGAACTGGCGAAGGAGGAAGCGGAGAGGGCGAGGGGCGAGGCGAAGCAGGCTCAGGAGAAGGCGGAGGCTGCTCGGGCTGCTGCGGAGGGGAAGAGGGAAGAGGCGGAGAAGGCGAAGCAGAGCGCGCGGGCGCGTCTGGAGGAGTCTGTGGCGCTGAAGGAAAGGGCCGCTGAGGCGCGAGCTGCGGCGGAAAAGGAGCACGCGGAGCTGGAGAGGCGGAAGGGCGAAGCGGAGAGCGCGCGGGAGAAGGCGGAGGCGCAGAGGAGGGAGGCTGAGGAGAAGAAGCAGCATGCTGAGAAGGCGAAGGAGGACGCGGAGCGGAAGAGGATTGAGGCGGAAAAGGCGAAGGAGGAGGCTGGGAGGGCGAAGGTGGATGCGGAGAGGGCGAGGGAGGAGGCGGCGAGGAGGCAGGAGGAGGCGGAGGGGAAGCGGGGTGAGGCGGAGAGGAAGCAACAGGAGGCAGAGAGGTTGCGGGAGGAGGCGGAGAAGGGGAGGTTGGCTGCTGAGCAGGCGAGAGCGCAGGCGGAGCAGGCGAGGGAAAGGAAGAAGGAGCTAGAGCTGAAAGCTGCGGCAAAGTGAAAAGGAACCTGGAGACTAGGGAGGGCTCTCTGAGGTGCTTCTTCTATTGAGTTGCTTTGGACGACAATCAGTAATTGTGGTACTACTGTTCACATGTTAGTGTTACAGGGATGCTTCAATTACCTCCTCCAAGTTCCTAATCCTAACTTGGAGGATATGTGGGATACTATGAGGTAGAGTGCTGCGGGCTCTGTTTCAAAGGAGTAAGTGAAACTATGCAGTTGGTAGTCTAGTGGGCTCGGATCATTGGTGGGCTCGGATCATTGGTTTCTTATGTAAGGCTGATTGTGACGTTTGAAGAAAGGACTTGACTGCCAGATATAACCATGAGTAAAATTGCTGTATCTTGAAAAGCTGCATGAACATTGCATGATGTATACATGGATTGCTGTTCGCGCAATCAGAATGTAAGCCTCGCTGTTATCACATCAACGAAGTATTTGTTTCTTCGCGTACTCTTCGCAACAATCTCGTTGCAGAAGCTCGACGTGGAAGCCGTGCCGCGAAGATTTCGTTGCTCTCACGGCGCAGTCACAAACTAGAGGTTGGGCCCCACGTCCGAACCTCAACAGCAGATTCATCAACCAGCTAGTCTGTCATGCTATTGGCCCTCATGCAAGACCGAACCACAATCTCCCGACATAATGATTCCCTTACCTCCGAGCCTATATTTCTGGCGCAAGCGGGGCTTCTCGCCGTGGCGAGGTGAAGATAGGTGAGAAACCAAACCTCAGAGAACCTTCTACCTGTAGGAGGTTCGACAGGGGCCAAAACAAGGACCTGCCGAGGCACGACGGAACGAAACCTAGGTCCTGCCCTAAATCCCTGAGCCTCGAGTCCTCCTCCTGAGCCCTGACCTAGGAGTTGGACGGGGAGGAAACGGTTGGGAGAAAACAGGCCTGAGCTGTGGGAAGAGGGCGAGGTGAGGTGACTCCAGGATTGACGCACAAGCAAGGAGAGGGATATACATCAGCTATCCGCATGCTTATGCGTCATTTGCGGTTCCAGCCTTCAAGATAGAGTTTGCGAGACTTGAGTGTACGCGTCCTGCCTTAAAAGTGCTCTTGTTTTTTTTTTTTTTCAGGAAGGAGTGCATTAGCGAGCGTGTTCGGTCCACCGATTAGTTTTGTAGTGCGAAGTGCTCTATTCTATGTTCGGCAAGACTGTTGCGATCGAATAACCAAAATTCTAGGGCAATTTTTCAATATTGCAATAAGTGCTTTCCATTGCTTCCCACCAGCTATTCCGTTGCGACAACGAACCATCGCAATATCCCCTTCTAGAAGTTGCGTCGGTGCTTCCAGGATCCAATTTGCCCAGGCCCCAAACTTCCGAAGCCCGGAAATAACATCTCTCGATCAGCTTCTAGTTTCTTCGTCTTGAACACACGCTACCAATGTCGGACGCGGAAGAAGCGGAAAATGCGCCGGTTGAGGAGGTTACACAGGGAGAGGCGCCTGCTAAGGAAGCAGCAGGCGATGATGGTGGTGGGGTTGAAGGAGAAGGAGGAGAAGAAGCTGAGGAAGTTGGGGACGAGGGAACGGGAGAAGAGGAAACAGCCGAAGAAGTAAAGGATGATGCAAATGATGGAGAGAAGGAAAGCGAAGGGGGAAATGCTGGTGACGAAGAAGGGGGGGTAGAAGCGGAAGTTACCCCTGCTGAAGCGGGTGAAGCAACTGAAGCAGGTGAAACGAGTGGTGCTGGTGACGCACGAGAAGCAAGCGACTCGGGAGAAGCGGCTGAAGGAGGTGAAGCAGAAGAAACAAGCGGAGAAACGAACGCGACAGGAGAAGCTGAAGCAGGTGAAGCTGCTGAGGCGGTTGCGGAAGAGGAAGCGGAAGAAAATGTGGAAGAGGCGGCTGAGGGGATCAGCGAGGCGGATGCTGAGAGCGCTGCTGATGGGAAGACAGAGGCGGAAGCCGGCGACGCTGCGCCGGCGGAAGCCGAGCAAGCGGAAGCGGAGCAGGCGGAAGGGGAGCAGGCGGAAGGGGAACAGTCAAAGGGAGATGACGATCAAGGGAGCGACAAAGGGGAGGCTGAGGATGCAGAGGCGGGTGTGACTGAACCGGGAGGGTCGAACGCAGAGGAAGTAGCTGCAGAGGAGACTGCTACAGCCGAGGCTACAACCGAGGGTACAGCCGAGGCTACAGCCGAGTCGAGTGCAGAAGCAGGTGAGGAGACCAACGAAGAGGCGAGTGGGGAGGCGAGTGGGGAGGCAACTGGTGAGCCGAGTGATGCTGCTGGTGGAGGTGAAGGGGGAGATCTGGAGGGAACGACGAGTGATGGGGAGTCACGAGCGGCAGAAGGAGAGATGGAGGACGAGGGGAAGGAAGATGACACAGGGGACGGACCGGTGGAGGAGAAAGGTGAGGAGGAGAGCTTAGGAGGACAAGGAGAAGGAGAGAAGGGAGAAGAGGAGGGAAGTGGCGAGGAGGTGAGGAACGAAGTGGGAGCGGAAGGGGAGGAAGATCGAGGAGAGGAGGGAGGAGAGCGGACAGAAGGAGGAGGAGAAGAAGGTATTGAAGCGGCAGCTGGAGGAGCAAGCGGCGAGGTTGATGGGGAGGGGGCAGCGGAGGAGGCGGAGGGGGATAAAGAAGAAGATGCGGAGAAGAATGATGACGTGGCATCTGTGTCGTCAGGTGGCGGCGATGGGGAGGATGAACGGGCAGGTGAAGAAAGCGAGGAGAGAATACAGGATGGAGAGATGGGTGGAGATGAGACAGGGGAGGACGAGAAGGGGCAGGAGGAGGAGAGTTCCGAGGCAGAGGGGGTTGGAGGAGAGATGGGCGAGTCTAGGTTGGAGGAAGGAGCAGGAGAGGAGGTGATAGGGGAAGCAGCGAGTGCGGAGCAATTGGGGGGAGAACCGGGGGAAGGGGAGGAAACGGAGGAGAAAGATAAGGGTGGGGTTGAGGAGGAGAGGGAGGGGGAGGGAGTTACTATTCATGTTGATGGTGACAATGGGATGGAAGAGGAGGGGAAGGCAGAGGAGGAAGCGGCAGGGGAGGCTAGTGGCTTGCGGGTAGAGAAAGGGAAAGAATCGAAGGAGGGAGAGGGAAGAGGGGAAGAGGGGGAGGTGGAAGCTGGTGCAGGTCAGAACCATGTGAAGGATGGAGAGGGGAGTGAGGAGGGGAGTGAGAAGGGGAGTGAGAAGGGGAGTGAGAAGGGGAGTGACAAGAGTGAGAGTAGTAGTGACAGCGATAGCAGCAGCGAGAGTGGGAGTGACAAGGAGGGGGATGACGATGAGAAGGAGAAGAAGAAGAAAGATAAAAAGGAGAAGAAGGATAAGGAGGGTAAGAAAAAGAAGAAGGATAAGAAGGATAAAGAGGGCAAGAAGGATAAAAATGATAAAGGGAAGAAGAAGAAGAAGAAAAAAGACGAAAACGAGGAAGAGGAAGAGGATGACAAGGAAATGAAGTCCAAGATAGCTGAAGAAATGAAGTCAAAGATAGAGGCAATGGAAGCCTTGATGGCTGGGATGAAAACAGAAGCAGAGGTGCAAGCGCTGCTGCAGGCACAAGAGACAGAATGGGCCGCCCGGCTCGCCGAAGCCGAAGAAAAAGTCCAAAAAATGCGACTCCTGCGTCAAGCCTTGGAGCTACGAGCGTCTAAGGCGGAGGAGCAACTGGGGAAGCTGAAAGAAGAGCTGGAAGCGGAGGAGGAGAGGAGGATAGCGGCAGAAGAAGCTAGGGACGAGGCGGAGGAGGGGCGAAGGGTGGCTGAGGAGGGCATGGAGGCGATGGTGGATGCTAAGAGGCAGACGGTGAAGAACCTGACAGAGAGTTTGCTGGCTTCGGAGGAGCAGAGGAAGAGGCTTGTTGCCGTGCTACGATCCGTGAACGGAGGTAAGACTTAGGGTGTTGCCGGTGTTGCTGGTGTTGCTGGTGTGGTTTGGTGTGAGTCGTTTGGGGGGGAGGAGGGGCGGCGGTTGGCTGAGGAGGGCATTGAGGCGATGGTGGATGCTAAGAGGCAGACGGTGAAGAATCTCAGAGAGTCTGCTGGCTTCATAGGAGCAGAGGAAGAGGCTCGTTGCTGTGCTGTGACCCGTGAATGGAGGTAAGGCTTGGGGTGCTGGTTGTGAGACGTTTGAGTAGTGATTACAATCGGTGTATGGAGGTTCGATGGGGTGGGGTGGTGGTTTGGTTGGCTTGTCTAAGGAAGTGGAAGAGGCTCTATGTTGTGCTGTGATCTCTAAATGGAGGTGAGCGGTGGGACGCGGTGTGCGGTGTTGGAGTTTGGTTGAGTACGCTTGTGCACGCTAGCTTTCTCTTACATACTGGTTTCCAAATTGAGAGTAGAAACGTTGGCGATAAGGAAATGGACAGTCATATTGACATTCATGTTGCCATGGGTAATAATAGCGGCACCCTAAGGTAAAAACGAAGCCCTTTGCTGCAATAAAGTGGTGCAAAAGGTATTGTAGCATGGATTCTGATGATCTTATAACCACTTCACCTGTGGCAGACAATAATCAACCAAGTATGGAGCACCATCACTTATATCGAGGTGTATTTTGAGGCGCCTCAAAATATAGTGATGATCTCATAACCACTTCACCTGTGGCAAGCAATAACCAGCCAAGTATGCGGCACCATCACTTGTATTAAGATTTTCAGACCTGACTTGCCTTCCTCCCCCTCGTCCCCTCGCTCTCACCCTCTCACCCGCATGACCCCTCAGTCCCCTTTTCCTGTAGCAGACCAGAACCAGTGAGTATGGGGCACACTGACTTGCCTCCCTCCGACCACCACCTATGAATTATCTCAAACCTGACTTGCCTCCTCTCCGCCTCATCCCCTCAACCTCTCACCCCCTCATCCCCACGACCCCCCCACCCTGTTTCTCTCCTCCCTGGCAGACCAAAACCAGTCAGTATGGGCACGTCTTGGAATTTTCAATCATGCTCTCACCCTCTCAACCCCACGACCCCTCCACCCCTTTTTCCTATGGCAGATCAAAACCAGTCAGTATGGGGCACCATCATGTCATGTGAGTTGCTTCCACACACACTTCCACACACACACTCCATGTTAAGTGGGCCACCACTACTGCCCTCCATACACCATCTGCTGCATCAGTCTGTGCTCATCCGTTTATAGTTTTGAGACGTCTCAAAACTACACTTTTAACATGTGGCTGTCATGTGAGCTGCCCCCCCCCCCCACACACACTCCATGCTAAGTGGGGTCATGTGGCATCACTACTGCCCTCCATGCACCATGTGCTGCATCAGTCTGTGCTCACCCATTCATAATGCCTCTGCATAACATGCCCTCGCATTCGTACTCATGCCATTTCGCAACATCCTCGTTTCTCACACACACATGCCCTTGCACAAGATGATGCTTTTTCATGCTCATGCCGTGCTTGACCACATGCGCATAGCATACCGGCACTATCGATCGTTGACACTCGCGCAGCATACTGTTACTTTCCATGGTGTTGACACCACCAGAACTGACTTTTGAGTCGACTCAAAAGTCAGCATAGCATACCATTACTTTCCATGGTGTTGTCACCACCAGAATCTCATTGTTATAACATGCTCTAGCGTCTCGCTCCATGCGACATCACTGGCCGATCCCTGCTGTTCAACCCCCTCACTCTCATCGTCCTAATCCCTCTCATCTCTCTTCCCCCCTCCCCCACTCCCCCCCCCCCCTCTTTCCTGCTCATCATCGCTCTTGTCCCGCTCATCATCCCTCTCGCTCCCCGCTTCATCCTCTATCTGCCACTCAGTTTTCGATGCCAACAAGGCTTGATGGGCACTTGAGCCAGGGTCGCTGCAGCTCCATCATCCCTCATCATCCTGTCTCAAGCTTGCTAAATTTTTGCAAGATTTTTCACAATTTGGACTCGGAGGTTGAAGTTGGAAGCAGCCGCAGCAGCAGAGGAAGTTGGAAGATCCATTTTCTAGTTGTGGAAAATCATGCAGCACGTTCGAGTTTATCCTTAATAATTTCACGGCGTTTGCAAGAGAAGGTGCCTTGCCCACACATGGCGCTGGCCGAACTGGCGACGCTCGAGCTGCTTTGCAGAACGCCCGACAGAGTGAAGCTTCAAGGCCTATTAGATGGTGAAGCTGTGTGGGTGGAAGAGGCTCGGTGAAAGCTGCGGCAGTGGAGGTTTTGGTGCAAAGCATATTTCACTAACCGCATCTGCTCCACTGCCCCAGAACCTCTTTCCGTTATTTATTCTCCGTTATTTGACCTTTTATTCTCCTTCCAGTGACTTAAATCCTGCCTTTGTAGTGATCAGCTGCTAACATAGGTTTTTTCTTGCTCTGAAATTTGTGCGTGCCTAATTATCTTTATGAATAGTATACCACTAAAGGTTCCCGACCGAACCAGAAAATGAACCATCTGGCACCGTTGTGATAATCAGTTTTGGGGAATTACAGTATCAGCGACTGCCTTGTGTGGTTTGGACACGAGGCAAGGAGACTGGTTGGGACGAAGGCTCGGTGAGAGCGTGAGGACGGAGGGTACCCGCGCTGGGGTGTTAGTTCGCGCGCATTAACGCGTTTCTACACTGACAAAACGTTGAACAATGTAGCCAAGGTGGAAATGAACTGTCACTGAATAAATACTAGGTCCGACCTAATGCTACAAAGCAATTCTGCCAACAGTCATCTACTCACATAAACATCACGCTACTCCTACCAACAACCCCAAGAAACTCATACTCATTTCACTTGAAAACCTTTTTCAAGAAGCCGCGGCTTTTCAGCTCGAGCTCCTTCTTGGTCTCTTCCAGCACATGAGCTGTGTGATCCCTCGCCTGCTCCGCCTCCGCCCTCGCTTGCTCCGCAATCAACCTCCCCTTCTCCGCCTCCTTCGTCAACTTCTCCGCCTTCTCCCTCAACCTATCCGCCTCATCCCTCAGTCTCTCTGCCTCCTGCTGCTTCCTCTCCGCCTCATCCCGCTTCCCCTCCGCCTCCTCCCGCCTCCTCACCGCCTCATTTCTCGCACTCTCAGCATCCAGTTTTGCGTTCACAGCCTCTAGCTTCACTCTCACAGCCTCCTCTTTCACCCCTTCCGCCTCATCCCTCCTGCGCTCAGACTCCTCCCTGGCCTTCTCAGCCTCACTCCTCTTCTGTTCCGCCTCCTCTCTAGCCTTCTCAGCCTGCTGCCACTTCAACTCAGACTCATCCCTCTGCGCTTCAGCCTCCGCCCTCGCTCTCTCCGCCTCAGCCTTCAGCCTCCCAAGCTCCGCATGCTCCTTCTCGGCTGCAGCTCTTGCCTCAGCAGCCTCTCCCAGCAGCGCCAGAGATTCCTGCAGACTAGCCCGCGCGGCCTGCTTCGCTTTCTCAGCCTCTTCCCTCCCCTCCTCCGCATCAGCCCGTAGACCATCAGCTTCCTCACGCAACTTCTCCGCCTCGTCTCTCGCCCTCTCCGCTTCCTCCTGCGCTTGTTCCGCCTCCTGCTGAGCTTTCTCCGCAGCCTCCCTCGCCCTCACAGCCTCCTCTCTCTCCGCTTCTGCTGCCTCCCTCGCTCGCTCTGCCTCAGCCTGCTTCTGGTCTGCCTCTGCCTTGGCTTGCTCCGCCTGCTCCCGCTTCTCATCAGCCTCCGCCTTTGCCTGCTCTGCCTGCTCTCTCTTCGCATCTGCTTCCTCCTTCTCCCTCACTGCCTGCTCCTTAGCTTCCTCCGCCTCCTCCTTCCGCTGCTCTGCTTCTCTCTCCTTCCTCTCTGCTTCACTCTGAGCCCTCTCCGCCTCTGCCTGCCTCGCTTCAGCCTCATCCTTTGCCTCCTCCGCCGCCCTCCTCCCCTCCTCTGCCTCCCTCTGCTTCTCCTCAGCCTCCTGCTGCTTACCTTCAGCCTCTGCACGAGCCTTCTCAGCCTCCTCCCGCTTCTCCTCCGCAGCAGCTCTCGCCTTCTCTGCTTCCTCCCGGGCACTCTCAGCTTCAATTCTCTTCCCATCAGCCTCCTCTTTCGCCTGCACAGCACTATCCCTCTCCTTCTCAGCCTCCTCCTGCTTCTTCTCAGCAACTTCCTCGGCTTTCACAGCCTCATCTCTCCTCGCCTCCGCCTCCTCCTGCCTCCTCTCAGCCTCCTCTTTCGCCTGTTCAGCCTCCTCCTTTGCCCTCACAGCCTCGTCCCTCACCCTCTCCGCTTCCTCCCGTGCCTTCTCAGCATCTCTCATCCTACCCTCCGCCTCCTCCTGGTTCTTCTCCGCCATTGCCCTGGCCTCTTCAGCCTCTCCCTTTCTCATCTCCGCCTCCTCCCTCTGCTTCTCCGCCTCTGCCTGCTTCCTCAGCGCCTCTTCCTTAGCTGCTTCAGCAGCATCTCTCACCCTCTCCGCCTCCTCTCTTGCAGCCTCTGCTTCATCCCTTGCCTTCTCCGCCTCAGCCTGCCTTGCCTGCGCCTCCTCCCTCGCCTCTTCAGCCACCTCCCTCGCTCTCACAGCCTCATCTCGCTGCCTCTCCGCCTCATCCCTCACCCTCTCCGCCTCCTCCTTTGCACGTTCCGCCTCCCCTTGCCTCGCTTCCGCCTCTGCCTGAGCCTGCTCCGCAGCCTCCCTCCCCTTCTCCGCCTCCTCCTGTTTCCTCTCAGCCTCACCACGAGCACCCTCCGCCTCCTCCTGCCTCCTCTCCGCCTCCTCTCTCGCCTTAACCGCCTCATCCCTCTCAGCCTCCGCCTTTGCTCGTGCCGCTTCAGCCAACGCTTTTGCCTCTTCTGCCCGAGCCTGCGCTTCCTCTGCCTCTCCCTTAGCCTTTTCTGCCTCGTCTTTCTTCCCTTCCGCCTCCTCCTTATCCCTCACAGCGTCCTCCCTTGCCCTCTCCGCCTCCTCCTCCCTCCTCACCGCCTCGTCCCTCCGCCTCTCCGCCTCGTCCCTCTTCCCCTCCGCCTCCTCCCTCGCCCTTTCCGCCTCTGCCTGCTTCCTCTCCGCCTCCTCCCGCACCCCCTCCGCCTCCGCCCTTGCAGCTTCCGCCTCCGCCTGAGCCTGCTCCGCTTCCGCTCTCCCAGCCTCCGCAGCAGCCTTGGCTTCCAAAGCTTCCTCCCTCCGCCTCTCTGCCTCCGCCTGTGCTGCTTCCGCCGCGCTCCTAGCTGCTTCCGCCTCCGCCTTAGCAGCCTCCGCTTCCGCCTTCGCCCCCTCCGCCTCCGCCTGAGCTGCTTCCGCCTCCCCCTGAGCTGCTTCTGCCTCCGCCTGCTTCCTCTCAGCTTCAACCCGCCTCTCCTCCGCCTCCTCCCTCTGCTTCTCCGCCTCTGCCCGTTCCTTCTCAGCAGCCTCTCTCGCCCTCTCCGCCTCCTCTCTCTCACGCTCCGCATTCACCCGCGCTTCTTCCTCCTCCTGCCTCCTCTTTTCCGCCTCCGCTGCCCTCCCCTCAGCCTCCCCCTTCGCCTGTTCCGCCTCCTCCCGTGCCCTCTCCGCCTCCACCCGAACCCTCTCCGCCTCGTCTCTCTCCCTCTCCGCGTCCTCCTTCCGCCTCTCCGCCTCGTCACGCGCCCTCTCAGCCTCCTCCTTGCGCGTTTCAGCCTCATCTCGCCTCGCTTCAGCGTCCTTCCTCGCATCAACCGCCTCCTGCTCCCTCCGCTCTGCCTCACCCCTAGCACTCTCCGCTTCAGCTTGCTGCCTCTCTGCTTCCTCTCTCGCCTTCTCCGCCTCCTCCGCACGCCTCTCAGCCTCAGCTCTTGCACTCTCCGCCTCAGCTTGCTTCCTCTCTGCTTCCTCCCTCCCCCTCTCTGCTTCCTCCCTCCCCTTCTCCGCCTCCTCCATCCGCTTCTCAGCTTCAGCCTGTGCGTTTTCCGCCTCGCCCCTAGCCCGTTCCGCTTCCTCTCGCGCTGCTTCCGCCTCCGCCTTAACCTTCTCTGCCTCCTCCCGCGCAGCTTCAGCCTCGTCCTTGTCCTTTTCAGCCTCTGCCCTAGCTGCATCTGCCTCTTCCTTATACTTCTCAGCTTGCGCCCTCGCTACCTCTGCCTCCGCTCTCGCTGCCTCAGCCTCTTCCTTATCCTTCTCGGCTTGCGCCTTGGCGGTTTCGGCCGCCTCACGCGCGCTTTCCGCCTCTGCTCGCGCCCTTTCCGCCTCCTCCTTAGCCTGTTCCGCCTCCTCTCTCACCATCACAGCCTGCTGCCTCTCCGACTCCGCCTCCTCCCGCGCCTTCTCCGCTTCCTCCTGCTTCCGCTCCGCCTCCTCTCTCGCCGCCTCCGCTTCCTCTTGCTTCCGCTCAGCCTCCGCGCGGGCCGCCTCCGCCTGCTGCTGCTGCGCTTCCGCGGCCTCCCTCGCTCGCTCCGCCTCCTCTTTTGCATCAGTAGCCGCGTCTCTTGCTTTCTCCGCCTCTTCCCTCGCCTTCTCAGCCTCCTCCTGTGCCGAAACAGCATCTTTAGCCGTATTCTCCGCTTCCTCCTTCGCTTTTTCAGCCTCCTCTCTCGCCGCTTCAGCTTGCTGCCGCGCCTCCTCAGCTTCCGCGCGCGCCTCTTCCGCTTCCGCCCTCGCCTTCTCCGCCTCTGCTTTTTCTCCTTCCGCCTGTGCCCGCGCCTGCTCCGCTTCCGCTCTCGCCCCTTCCGCCTCCTCTCTCGCCTTACCAGCCTCTTCTCGCTGCGCCTCCGCCTCTTCTCGTTGCTCCTCCGCCTCTGCTCGAGCGCTCTCCGCCTTCTCTTTCTCCGCCAAGGCTTCTTCCCTTTCCGCCTCCGCCTCCTGCTGCTTCCTCTCCGCGTCAGCGCGAGCACTCTCCGCGTCAGCTCGAGCGTTCTCCGCGTCAGCAGCTGCGGCCTCAGCCGCGGCCCTGCTTTCCTCCGCCTCCGCCTTCCGGGCCAAAGCCTCCTCCCTCGCCCTCTCCGCCTGCTCGCGCGCAGCTTCCGCCTCCTCCCTCCCCCTTTCCGCCTCCGCCCGCGCCCTTTCCGCCTCTTCCTTCTCCCCAACAGCCTGCTCCTTAATCTCCTCAGCGTCCTCTCGCTTCCTCAATTCCTCCTCCAAACACTTCTGCAACTCTGCTTTCTCTCCTTCCACACCCTCTTTCACCCTCAGCGCATCATCCCGTTCCTGCTCCGCCTTCCTCCTCCCTTCCTCCGAGTCCCTACAAGCAGCCTCCACCAGCTCTTCCATTCTCGCCTCCACCTCTTCCTTCCCCCTCATAGCCTGCTCCTTCTGCAATTCCGCCTCCTCCCTCGACTTCCTCGCCTCATCCCTCTCCATCTCCGCCTCTTCAAGCTTCCTCTCCATATTCTCCTTCTCCTCCCGCACTTTCCCAATCGCCTCTAGAGCTTCTTTCTCCGAAGCCACGCGTTTCTTGTTATCCTTTGTAAGCTTCTCCACTTTCTCCTTTAAGCTGTCATGCACGAACTTATACTTGCCAAGATCCACCTCCATAGCCATAAATTTCTCCTCCATTTCCTTTAACTCCTTATCTTTTGCGCCCATTGCGGCGCCACTCCCTCCAACAATTTTGCTTTCCGCCAATTCTTTCCTCAGCTTTTCAATTTCTGCCTGCATCTCCCCAGCAGCGTCCTCAGAAACTCCACCTCTCTTCCATGATTCAATTTCTTTCGTCATCTGCCCGATCTGCTCCTTTGCTGCCTTCAACTCCGCTTGCATGTTCTCCATTTTCAGTCGCATGTCCATATTCTTTATTTTCAGCTGCCCGAGCTCCACTTCCAAAGCCACACTGGAGTCTTTAGAAGCCCCCGAACCTGCAGAACTGGGTCCGCTTCGGGCCGAACCGGCAGTACTGGATCCGGTTCGGACCGAACCACCAGCACTGGTCCCCGTTCGAACCGAACCAGCAGCGCTGGGTCCGGTTCGGACCGAACCAGCAGCACTGGGTCCGGTTCGAACCGAGCCAGCCGTACTGGTTCCGGTTCGGCCCGATGCAGCAGGTACAGGGACGGCTCCCCCAGACTGAACGGACTTGTGCCGAAAAGACGCGACTCTATCGGCGACACTAAGCTTAGCGGTGGTCTTTTTCTCTGGTAACCAGTCATCGTTAGGTGACGCTCCATCTGCGAAACCACAGAATCGGCCGAAGGTGAGATAAACGTTATCACAGAAACAACAGAAGAGAAAAACTGCAGACCGTACCTTTTCCGGACATTGTTGCGAGGGCAATCGACGGTTGCCGAAATGCTATTGGTGCTTTAGGTAGTAAAACTGACCGCCAATGCCGTTGTCAGATACGGAAAGAAGGATAACTTGAGTCCTTAGATTGCAAGGAAGGTTGGGAAAGAAGGAATAAATAAAGAGGGTCTTCGATTACGCAGTCAATGATCTAAAGCCCTGTGATGACAGAGTTGCAAAGCGTCTCAGAACATTAGTCCATAATGTCCGACGAAAAGCGGCATTAGCTATTCCCGCCGTACATCTTTATTAACCAAGACACTCAGTCCCTGGGTGGGCCTACCAATTCAGGGTGATGCAGAGATGGATCAATCGTCTGTGGTTGGATGAAGGGAAATAGCTCCTCGATGATTGAGTCTGGGGCGAAATGCAATTCCAATGTCTGCTGCCTCCAAGTAGCTGCCTATAACTCGTCGGTTAGGTTCGGTCAGAAGGCTATTCAGGCGTTCTCAACGTGACGGAACGGAACGGATGGAAGGGATAGGAACTGGACCAGATGGTTGGTTTGGGGAGGAACGGAACAAAACGGAGTTTGGGTGGAAGGGGGACGGGTAGGTTAGCATATTTGCTCTTGACGTGGAAGGCTTGTCGTGTGTGCTAGGCTGCCTCGGCACGTCGAGCCTAGCACCCTTTCAGCAAGCCACGTTCGGCAGTCACTAAGGGCGCGTAACTTTTTCACCTTTCATCGTCCGGACGGAGGCCCCGTCCGGACTTCTGTAGGGTAACCAATTTCGTAGTAGTCCGTTTAGATGTTCGCAAGACCCCCTGCGACGTCGTTACCGTCCGGACTAACCTGCTGACTCCGTCCGAACGGCATTTCGGACGGTCCGTTTTGTCTGCGCTGTGATTCGGCCACGAAGTTAATGATTTTCCAACCAATAGGATGCCGTCAATTTTCGGTGGCGAAATATCCAAGTGCTATACGAATTCTGTAATGCGTGTTATTATTCTTGGCGAGATTTTACATTTTCGATAGGGGAAAAAGTTGCACAATTGTGGTCCGGACGCCCTATCGTCCGGACCTGCTTCCCAAACGTCCGGACGGAGCTCCGTCCGGCCGGTTTGGAGGCTCCGTCCGGATATTTGACGAAAATGGAAGAAGTTACGCGCCCTAAGGTCCGTCCGAGACCACCCTGTAACGAGGAATCAAGATCGTGGAGTCTTGATGTTTCTTTCTAAGATTCGTTTTTATACTGATGCCTTTTTGTGTAGAGTCTGTAGTTCTTTCATTTTGAGGGCATAAGCCGTTCAACGGCAACCGCCACGTCACCAATAGGCCATTTTTTGTTCGGAGAAAGGGCTAGCCGCTTCGGCACTTCCCAGACCGTTTCCGTGCCTCCAATCAACCTCCCTCGTCCTCGCTCAGAGGTTTCTAGCCAGCCCTCACCGCAGAGGGCATCACCAGGCCTCACCGCAAGCACGTCCTCGCAAGGCCTGTCAATCTGGCTCGGAAGCATCACAACAAGCTGGTTCGGCTAGCCGCGTCGCTAGATTCAAGACATTTTGACATTGATTGATGACAATGTCGCACCACGAGAATTGTGCTCCACGCGACGACAATGACGACGCACATCTTCTCTTCAGCTCTCTTCGTCCCTAGTCCCCCCGACTTCCTTTGTTTGCAGTGCTCAACACTTGACGTTCGTGGAGTCACCACACTTTCGTAGCTCCAGATCAGACATGAGTCGCGCAGCAATGGCAGTAGAGCAACCGCCTTGCTCCAAGAAAACTATGTCGGGTTAGCAGTAGAAACTGGAGACTATGTCGGGTTTGCATTAATTTATGTTACAGCAGGTTCAGATAGCCCGCTGGCTTTCGTGACTCCCTCCTGTCCATCGACATAGTTGATCGGAAACGTCTAGGTTATAGCAGCCATCTCCCATCCGTTTTGTACCGAATAGAGCTAGCAATGGCAGTCAACGTTACCCTCTCCGAACCAGAACATGCAGCTCTCGCCAAAAAGATGGACTATCTCAAACGTCTCCATAACGCCGACGACGAGGACGACAGTAACGAGGATGACTCCGACGAGGGTTCAGGCGAATGCAGGATGATACGGCGAGAACCGATCAAGAGCAGCGACAGCAGCAGCGGCGAAGGTTCCGATGACGGAACAAACAGCTCTGACGACGGCGGCCCCAGCGACGGCACTTGCGGCGACACTTGCGGTAACGGCACTAGCGCTGACGCACCCATTGGTTCGGCCGAGCCTGGCCCCAGCCCTGCCGCGTCCACGACCCGGATCGGCGAAAGCGGCGGGTTCGGTTTCAGCCGAGACTACTTCAACTCGCTCGCCGCGGCTCTTGACGCCGGCAGCAGCAGCACCAGTAACCGGCGGGCGAGTTTGGGCTCGGCTTTGGCTGCGAAACGGGAGAATCGGGTGGAGAGTCGATTCTTGGAAATCGAGATGCAGAGTCGGTCGTCCCAGGCTGCTGGGGCGCATGACTGGCGCGCGGCTCTAAAAAACCGGGGCCGTTCTTTCCAAACGATGCACGACTGGGGCGCGAAGCAGGAGGACCAGCAGCAGCAGGTGGAGAGTCGCGAGGGCCTGCGAGCGGGTGACGGCTTGCCGGAAGCCGGTAAGTTTACCGGCAACTGGACCGGGCCGTCAGACGCCGGCAGGTTCACAGGCGGGGATCGCCCATCCGAGACGGACAGCGGATCTTCCGACGTCAGAAAGGAGTTATTGAACAACAACGGCTCGTCTTCTTACGTCAGCGGGTCAGCGGTTGCTACGGCGTCTTACGCGGCGTCGCAAAGCCAGCGCGAGGCTTGTGAACCGGGCGCTGTTAGCTCCGCGCGGTCCGCGATGGAGGAGGTGCGACGCGTGGAGAAGAAGATGGAAGCAATGGAATCCCGGCAAGGAAAGCTTGGAGCTCCTGAGTCGGACCGGGCGGTTGACGCGGATCGGTCTCTCGACTCGAACGCTATCGATCGCACCATCGAGTCGCCTGAAGCGTCTTCTAACGCACTACAAAATGACGCGTTACAGAATGACGCGTTGCTAAACAAAGCGGCTATGGAACGAGCGATAGAAGCCATGGAACGAATCGGCACGAGTGGCGGCGGGGACGGCGGAAGCGGAGGCGACGAGGGAGCTGGGGGAAGAGCCGGTGAGGGTGACAGCGGAGACGCAGAGGGGGGGCGGCGGCGGGGGAGGGGGAAGGATGTGGCGGAACTCGAGAAGGAGGTCGAAGAGGCGAAGCAAGCGTCGCACCGCATAGCCGTTATGTTCTACCAGCAAGACCAGGAGCTTAAAGACCTGAGAGAGAATCACCTGGCGCTTCAGGAGGACCATAAGCGCATATCGGTTCAGCTACAAGCGGCGCAGGCGGAGACGGACGAGCTGTGGAACCAGCTGGCGGCGGCGTCCCGCCAGAAGGAGGCGGCGGAAGCGACGGCGGCGGAACTGCGCCTGAAGATCCGCATGCTCGCGGGGAACGTGGAGGAGCTGGAGGGGGAAGCGGAGGCCGCCGGGGGTTGGGGCGGCGGGGGAAGAGGCGGAGGCGGAGGAGGAAGCGGAGGTGGAGGTGGGGGAGGGGTTGGCGGAACGACTGCCGTCGAGGGAGTTAGCAGTTTAGAGTCTGATCTGGTTGGCTTGCGGAAACTCAAGGAGTTAGAATGGGAGTTAATATCCGCGCGAAGCGCGCGCGACCGCGCTATGACCGTCTTGGCGGGAATGAGAGAGGAGTGGAATAATCTCCGCAAACTGCGCCTGCAGCTTGACGCGCTGACGGCTAGCAGGGAGGTTGCCGGCGGTTCTGCTGGCGCCAGCGGCGGCCGCGGTGCTCATGCGATGGACCGCGCAGCCAGGGGGAAACTTGCTGGGGAAGACGTGCGGGGAAGGGCATATAGCGGAACGAGACGGGGGGAGGAGGACGCGGGGGAAGCGGGAGGGGATGAGCTGTTAAAGGGAGTGGAGTCGGAGATTGCGGAGGAGGCGGACAAGTGGCGGAAGGTGGTTGGTCAGCTGCAGGAGGACCACGTGCGCGCAGTCGTGGAGGCGCAAGACGCGGCGGAGAAATGCGCGGGCGCGCGGAGGCAGGCGGAAGCCGCCAGTGAAGAAGCGATGAGGCTTAGGCGGGACATCGAGCGCGTAAGAGAGGAGAAGACTATAGCAGAGGAGGATCTGAGGGATTTCCGCAAGGGTTGGAAGGACCTAGCCGGGCATTTAGAAACTTTCGCGGCTAAGGTGAGCGAAATGGATGCGGAATTAGCGGTGAAGAGAAAGGAGAGAGAGGTGATGGCGATGGAGATCGAACGGTCCGTGAAAGAGCGCGATCTGATGGCTGTGGAGATCGGACGGGTGAGAAAGGAGCGAGATTTTATGTCGGTGGAGATCGAACGGCTGCGGAAAGATCGCGATCTGATGGCGCTGGAGATCGAACGGCTGAGCAAAGAGCGTGATTTTATGGCGGTGGAGATGGATCGGCTGAGCAAGGAGCGCGCAGAGGCGGAAGAATCGGCGGAGCGCGCGCGGGGGGAGATGTGGGGAGAGCGGGAGAAGCGGCTGGGGGAAGTGCAAGAAGCGGAGGAAAAAGCGCGGAGGATTCGCGAACGCGCGGGGAACGCGTTAGAAGCATACGCGGAAGAGAGAAAAGAGATTGAGAATATGTTACTGCACCGAGTGCAAACCTTACAGTCGGCGGTGGAGGAGTTGCAAGGGCAGCTTGATCACGTGCAAGGCGCGAAAAGCAGGCTCGCGCACGCCGCGGGGGCGTTCATGCGGGAATTTCAGTACACTGGCGCAGGGGGAGGGGAACGGGGAGGGGGAGGCGGAGGCGGAGCGGAAGGAGGGAGGTTTCGGGAGGCAGCTAACGAATATTACAGCGAAGGCGGGGCTTCCAGGGGAGTGGGCGCAGGGCTGGTCTTCCTGGATGATAGAGGGAGGGTGGAGAATCTTGGCCTTCCATCTACCGGAGATGGTTTGGGGTTCAAAATCGGACGGTCGTTAGAGCAGGGCTTGTCTGGGCGGCAGATAATTGAAGAGCTGGATTATCTGTCCGATGGCGGGGGCTTGGGAGGCAGTAACGGCCGAGCCTCTGGAGCAGGTCGGGATGAGACGGTCCGAGGCATGGCTGGGCAGAGGGGCGTTGGATCAAGAAGTGGTGGGCGAGGGGCGATGGGGATGACAGCCGCAGCAGCAGTGACTGCTGTAGACTACGGAACATCATCCATTGGGGGTGCTGGTGGTGGTGCTGGTGGTGCAAGGAGGTGGAGTGCAGCAGCAGAGCTTGAGCAAGCTTTACAGGCAGATAGGGGTTGTGGTGTGGGGAGCAATGTGGATGATGACATGAGGTCAACACGCAGTGGGGGCAGCTCAAGGAGGGCTTATGGCGGAGGAGGGGTAGGTGGAGGAGGGACAGGAGTAGGAGTAGGAGGAGGGTATGGTGGTGGTGGTGCGGGGGCAGGGTTGCAGGCGAGGACTCCGAGGGAGAGTGCACGGGCTGGCGTGTTTTCAGACACATATGCTGCTCCGCGTTCAGGTACGGGCCTTTTCTTCTATCATTCTACCCTACATCCCACTGCCATTCTCGATTGCACTTCATTTTGCATTCCCCCCCTCCTCACCGCCTACTTTTTCAGTAGTCAGCTTCACTTCTTGCCTCTAAATCCTTATCAATACCCTATCCTCCCCTCCCCTCCCACACACCCTGTCCTGTTCTCATTCCTCCCCAGCATCTCGAGGCAGGGGCGGACTGCGTGGTTCCCTGGAGGAAGACGATGGTGCCGATGCTGTGTCAATCGCCACTTCGATTCGTCGGGAGAGGGAACGCGAGCGAGAGCGGGACCGAGACCGCGGCACCGAGTATCTGCAGCAGTGCGATCGTGAGCGTCGATTCCGGGATGAGAGGGAGGACGACGACAGGATATCCGTTCACGCTCTGGAGAAGTATGCGCCGAACCTGGCTCGCAGTTTGAACGTTGGCGGCATTGCATCTTCAGGAGTAGCTGGAGGTGGTAGGCGTGGGGTTGACGACGATGAAGATGCCAGGAGTGTTAGCAGTCGTAAGTCTTGTCTCTCAGGTGCTTCGAGAGGGAGTAGGTATTCCACCACTTCGTCTGGTGCTGCTGCCACAGCGGCAAGGGGAAGGACTTCAATGAGGGACCATTCAACACTTTACTAGTGGAGAGACTTGTGCTCTCCAAGTCAATATGTAGGTGTTGTGTGGATGATGCTAGTATGTTTGCCTGCACCCGAAACCCTATTTTCTGGATTAGGACCACTTGAGAACCATGCCTAGCTGTATGTATTTTTGTTATGCATATGTAAGGGTCTAACGTTGTAATGTTATCTGCCACTTTACAACCCATTGTATGTTTACGGGGCGGCTCCGGCGCGTATGTTTTAGCCATTCAAATTGAGACTTCAAGGTTACGCAGCCCTCGCCTTGCCACATCTCTATTCGGCTCGGCGACTCCGAGCCTCTTGTTCAAATTTCGAGACACGCGACTCGTTTTCCCGCCACGCATGGGCCTGGTTTCTCCAACAGCCACCATGCCGAACCGAACCATCCACCAGCGCCGAACTGGCCGTCGAGTCTCATGGCCGTGCTTTGACCCTTGCCTCACCGTGCGGTACGGCTACATCCCTTGGTTTTCTCAACAATCCCTTTCCAAGCCCTGGCTCTCAGAAGCATGCCCTTGCGATTTGCTTGTGAACAAGTTTCCATGTTCCACGGTTCTACAATCTCAAGACTGAGCAGCTTTCCAGGGAAAGGCAAGAGCCTTACGTGAAATTAGAATTTCTAGCGGGATAGCCGGATTGCTATTTCAGCCTGTGGTAGTCGAATTAGCATCTATGTAGACAAAACGTATGCTACTTCAAGTGCGCCCTCATTCGTAGCCCTGCAGCTTAGTACAGGAAACAGAAAAGAGAATGGCGGGCGATTCAAGCGAGGACGAGGTAAGTCAGAGTACCGATAGCTCACTATTTTTTCTTTCTTTCTTTGTTAGTCTTCATGAGCAACCGTACGATCTACTGAACGTGCCTTCGCTGTTTCGCTCGATCGCAGTATATTCCCGAGGAGGCGACACCAAAAACCGCAAAGAAGCGTAAGGCCCCGAGCAGCACTCCACGGACCACTAAAAAGGCACCTCGCACCACCGCCGCTTCGCCAGCAACCCCCTTACCCTCCGCTGACGGACCCCCATTAGTAGAAACCCCTAACGCCGTCGGTCCAGATGGGAAGACGATCGAGGAGACTTATCAGCGCAAGACGCCGCTAGAGCACGTGCTCCTCCGGCCGGACACGTACATAGGTTCGGTGCAGACGCACGTGGGTCCGCAGTGGGTTTGGGAGCAGGGTCGGATGGTACACCGCGAGGTTCGGATGGTTCCGGGGCTGTATAAGATATTCGACGAGATTTTGGTGAATGCGGCGGATAACAAGCAGCGCGACCCGAGCATGGACGCTATTAAAGTGACCATCGATACCGCCAAGAATAAAATTCAGGTAAACGGCTTTTGGTGTGCGGATTGGACCTTGGGGTTGTGCATGTTTGGCTGGACCGAGTAGGACTGTACCGAGACTGACACCGTTGTCACTAATGAACGATGCACCATTAGGCCTTCTGCTGACAGGAACTATATGCTATTCAGGCGCCAAATAAACGAGTACTAGACACGGTCGACAATGAGGAGCGATGTGGGTTAGACCTCGTGCTGACTGGACCTGCACAGTGTAACTGAAGCCACCTAGGAGATTCGTGGTTCGTCCTGCACGTGTGTTCTGGATTGATTGCACTTACATTTGTGTATCTAACTGGTGCCACACAGCATGTCTTGTTTGCACCCCTTCCCACCACTCGCAGGTGTGGAACAACGGCCAGAAGATTCCCGTGGAGGTGCACGCGAAGTGGGGGTGCTACGTGCCTGAGCTGATCTTCAGGCACCTGGTGCCTTAATGAGACCTGCACCATATGCTTTATCTGCACCCCGTCGTACCACACTCCCACTCGCAGGTGTGGAACAACGGTCGTGGAATTCCGGTGGAGGTTCACGCGAAGGAGGGATGCTACGTGCCAGAGCTCATCTTCGGGCACCTGCTGACAAGCAGCAACTACGACGACTCGGCGCGCAAGACCACGGGCGGGCGCAACGGGTACGGCGCGAAGCTGGCGAACATCTTCAGTACGGAGTTTGTGGTGGAGACAGCAGACGGCAGCCGGCAGAAGAAGTACAAGCAGGTACATAAGAGGGGTCATTTTTACCCATTATAAATCACACCCCACAGCGGTTACGGCGCCAATCTGGCGAACATCTTCTGCACGGAGTTTGTGAGGGAGCCCACTGACAACATGACCTCCATCACCTTCCACCCCGCCCCGACTAAGTTTCTTACTTCCCTTCTTTTCCCCTTCTTCATACCCTCTTCTCCCTTCTCACAGGTCTTCTCTAACAACATGAGCGTCACGAAACCCCCAGTAGTCAAGGACTGCAAGCCCACCGAAAACTTCTCTTCCATCACCTTCCACCCGTACTTAGTTCCTTCATCCCCTTTTTCCCTTCCTCCCATGCCTCTACCATTTCCGTGTGCCCCCTCTCCAGATCTTATCAAAGAACATGAGCATCAAGAAGCCCCCTGTAATCAAGGACTGCAAGCCCACCGACAAACATCACCTCCATCACCTTCCACTCAGAATTAGCTCCTTTTTTCATCCCTTTCTCCCCTTCTTCCCCTTCTTCCCCGCCCCTCATTCGACCATCTCCCTGTGCCCCTTCTCCAGGTCTTCTCTAAGAACATGAGCGTAAAAAAGGAACCAGTAATCAAGGACTGCAAGCCCACCGACAACTTCACCTCAATCACCTTCCACCCGGACTTGGCCAAATTCGGGCTCGATTCTCTAGACGCAGACCACGTGGCACTCATGAGCCGACGTGTCGTTGACGTGGCAGGGTGCCTGGGGAAATCCGTGAAGGTCACGCTCAATGGCACGCGTGTGCCTGTGAAATCGTTTGCGGATTATGCGGGGTTGTATCTTGCCCCTCCTCCGCCGCCCACCCCGCAACCCCCCGCCACTCCGCCATCATCAGGGGAAGGGGGGAGCGGAGGGGGCGGAGGGGAAGGCGGGGAGGGGGCAGGGGCGGAAGGAGGGGTGTCTGCAGCAGAAGCGGCAGCGGCAGCAGCTGCAGCTGCTGCTCATCCTTCAACTCATGAGAAGCTCCCAAGGTCCGTATTTCTATTGCTGACCACCCGTGAAACTCCTAAGAGTATGCGTTGACACCATAATTCGTTGGGGTGAGTTTTCTGATAGGGTTGGTCTTGCCTAAGTTCACCAGGCGCATTACTCCGGGTCAATTTTTCATGAGCGATAACGGCTGCCACAAGTGCGCCCGTGATTCGCAACTAACGGCTGCCACAAGTGCGCCCGTGATTCGCAACTAACGGCTGCCACAAGTGCGCCCGTGATTCGCAACTAACGGCTGCCACAAGTGCGCCCGTGATTCGCAACTAACGGCTGCCACAAGTGCGCCCGTGATTCGCAACTAACGGCTGCCACAAGTGCGCCCGTGATTCGCAACTAACGGCTGCCACAAGTGCGCCCGTGATTCGCAACTAACGGCTGCCACAAGTGCGCCCGTGATTCGCAACTAACGGCTGCCACAAGTGCGCCCGTGATTCGCAACTAACGGCTGCCATCTGATTGTGCAGGATTCACGAGAGGGTGAACGACTGCTGGGAGGTGTGCGTGTCCACCAGCGATGGGCAGTTCCAACAGGTACTGTCGATGGGCGGGGGAAGTGAGGGGGGAAGGGGTTGAATGGGCACGAGGTGTATGCTGGAAGGTGTGTGTGTGTGTGTGTGTGTGTGTGTGTGTGTGTGTGTGTGTGTGTGTGTGTGTGCGCGCGCGCGCGTGTGTGTGTGTGTGTGTGTGCGCGCGCGCGCGAGTGTGTGTATGTGTGTGTGCGCGCGCGCGAGTGTGTGTGTGTGCGCGCGCGTGTGTGTGTGTGTGCGCGCGCGCGCGCGCGTGTGTCCGTGCCTGCTTGGGATAGCTAATTTCAAGTCCGAGCCATGCTTAATTTTATGCCTGTGTCCATGCCTGACCGTGCCTGCAGGTCAGCTTCGTGAACGCCATTGCGACCACGCGAGGAGGCACGCACGTGAACATGGTATCAGAGCAGATCGTGAGGTACCTGCTGGACAAGGCGCAAAAGAAGGCTGCCACTGGCAAGCACGGGTCCGCCAGTGGCGCTGCTGCCATCAAGCCGCACCAGGTGAGGATGGGGAGGGGAAGAGGGGGGGACTGGGATAGGATTGGACAGGAAGAGCGAGTGAAAGAGAGGATTTGGAGGGGGGAGAGAAGGGTTGGATGGGAGAGCGAGTGAGAGAGAGTGCTAGGCAGAACATGAGGGGGACAGTGGGAGAGTGAGAGCAGATCGTGCGGCACCTGCTGGAGAAGGTGCAGAAGAAGGCCAGCACTGGCAAGCACGGGTCTGCCAGTGGTGCTTCTGCCATCAAACCACACCAGGTGAAAAAGGGGGGAAAGGGATTGAGAAAGGCTTGTTGGTGGCAGTGTGCAGCTGAGAGAGTGGGGGAGAGCGTTTGTGTTCGTTTCTTGCACTGCTGTGCCTGTGCTGCTGCCTGCTGCTGTCTGTCTCTGGATGTGTGTGAACTGCTTGGTGGTGTATTTGGCGATTGACTTGCAAACCAAGGAGAATATAAACACACGCCCCTCTGTGCTCTATACCTTGCTTTGCTTGCATATGCCCCTCCCTCTCCCTCAGGTGCGCAGTCAGCTGTGGGTGTTTGTGAACTGCCTGGTGGTGAACCCAGCCTTTGACTCGCAGACCAAGGAGAGACTCAAACACGCGCCCCTCTGTGCTCTATCCCTTTTCTTGCTTGCCTATTCCTCTGGTCTCTTTCAGGTGCGCAGTCAGCTGTGGGTGTTTGTGAACTGCCTGGTGGTGAATCCAGCCTTTGACTCGCAGACCAAGGAGACGCTCAACACACGCCCCTCTGACTTTGGCTCCAAGTGCCACCTCTCGGAAGATTTTCTCAAGAAAGGTGCGCATGCAACGGTATGGAATGAAGGGAAGAAATGAGATATTTGAGGGGTGCTTCTAGAGACGCTCAACACACGCCCCTCTGACTTTGGCTCCAAGTGCCACCCACCTCTCGGAAGACTTTCTCAAGAAAGGTAGGGGAACATGTACAATGGAAGGGATGGGATCTGTGAGGTCCCTCTAGAGACACTCAACACACGCCCCTCTGAATTTGGCTCCAAGTGCCACCTCTCTGAGAACTTTCTCAAGAAAGGTATGTTATAGAGGTGCTTCAAGAACAGACTCTTTAAAGACCTCCGCAAGAAAGGTATGCTGATATGCAATGCAAGGGATGGGAATTGTGAGATGTCTCGAACAACTCGTAAAACGCAAGCCCCTCTGACTTTGGTTCCGCGTGTATGAAGGTTTATTTTGAGACGTCTCAAAATAAACCTTCATACTTGTGAGATGCCGCGAACAACTCGTAAAACACAAACCCCTCTGACTTTGGTTCCGCGTGCAAGCTCTCCGAGGCAGTTCTCATTCACCTTCTGCTCGTTACAACCCCCCTGTCTCGGCTTTCTCTCTTGCCACAGTGGCTGCCAAGTGCGGCATAGTGGAGCATCTGCTGTCCTTGGCAGCGCACAAGCAGACCAAGGATCTCAAGCGCAGCGACGGCAGCAAGAGGCAGCGCGTGTCGGGCATAACGAAGCTGGACGATGCCAACGAGGCGGGTGGTAGGAATGCGGAGCACTGCACCCTGATATTGACAGAAGGAGACTCTGCTAAGACTCTGGCGGTGAGAAATTAGCTTTGGTTTCTCCTTGAGAGGGGTAGACATAAAATGGGGGAATGGGGGGTGAATGGGAAGAGGCAACGCGCGTGTCGGGCATAACGAAGCTGGGCGATGCCAACGAGGCGGGCGGCAGGAATGCAGAACACTGCATTCTGATCCTCACTGAAGGGGACTCTGCATTGGAGGGTAGGAAGGACACTATTCTGATCCTCACTGAAGGGGACTCTGCCAAGACTCTGGCGGTGAGAGAGTCACTTCAATCTCGTGATTTGGAGGGTAGGGCGGAAACTGGGGGATGGGGGATGAAGGGGAAGAGGCAGCGAGTGTCGGGCATGCATTGTGAAGCTGGACGATGCCAATGAGGCAGGTGGCAGGAATGCAGAGCACTGCACTCACATCCTCACTGAAGGGGACTCGGCGAAGACTCTCGCGGTGAGAGAATCGCTCTGGTTTCTTAGAAGGGCAGGATGTGGGGTGAGGGGGGGAAGAGGCAGCGCGTGTCGGGCATGCATAGTGAAGCTGGACGATGCCAATGAGGCGGGTGGTTGGAATGCGGAGCACTGCACTCTCATCCTCACTGAAGGACTCGGCTAAGACCTTGGCGGTGAGAGCTGCTTTGTTTTCTTTCTTGGGGGGACAAAAGGGGGGCTACGGGAGGGTGGGAGGAAAAGGATCTTTGGAGGTGGGTGGAAAGCCCGAGTTTTGGGAATGGCAGAGGGGGAAAGCGGGAATGCAGAGCAACACTGCAAGTATGAAGAATCATAAGAGGCGGATTTCTCGTGTTCCTCCCTCCCTCACTCACTTCCTCCAGGTGTCAGGGTTGAGTGTTCCTCCCTCCATCCCTCACTTCCTGCGGACGCGTGTTCTCCTTGCGAGGCAAGCTGCTGAACGTGAGGGACGCATCACACAGACCGATGTTGGAGAACACTGAAATAAGGCATTCTTGAGAGTTGCTTCACCGCATTCCTGTCTTACCCCCTTCCCTCCCATCCATCCCTCCAGGTGTCAGGGCTGAGTGTGGTTGGCCGCGACCGCTACGGCGTGTTCCCCTTACGAGGCAAGCTGCTGAACGTGAGGGACGCGTCACACCAGCAGATGATGGAGAACACTGAAATAGGGCATTGTAGAGAATTGCTTCGAAACATTCCTGCCCTCCCACCTTCCCACCTTCCCTCCCTCCCTCGCGCCAGGTGTCTGGGCTCAGTGTGGTGGGCCGTGATCGCTACGGTGTGTTCCCCCTGCGAGGCAAACTGCTGAACGTGAGGGATGCGTCTCACCGGCAGATGATGGAGAATACTGAGATAGGGCATCTGAAGCAGATCCTGGGGCTGCAGCATGGGAAGAGCTACGAGAGCGTGAAGGCTCTGCGATACGGGCACCTCATGATCATGACTGACCAGGTGAGTGAGACCGTGAAGACGCTGTACATGTATGGATGTATATCATGGGGCTCCTCATAATCCGAGTTGACTTTTGAGTCGAGTTGACTTTTGAGTTGACTCAAAAGTCAGTCGACTCAAAAGTCAACTCGTGAGGACGCTGTATATGTATGGATGTATATCATGGGGCTCCTCATAAACCTCCTGCACTCCTGCTGGCCTTCTCTCTTCTAACATTTTTCCTGCTTTCCTATCTTCCCTCACAGCACCATCATTCACTCCATCGTCCCTACTCCTCTGCCCGTGTCACTCACTTCCATCCCACCCACAGGATCATGACGGGTCCCACATAAAAGGTCTTCTCATCAACCTGCTGCACTCCTGCTGGCCGTCCCTGCTCAAGCACCCCTCTTGCTTTCGTTTCTTCTCTTTCTCCCTCTCAGCACCATCATTCACTCCATCAAGCATGTCTCCTCTGCCCTCACCACTCACTCCCATGCCACCCACCAGGACCACGATGGGTCCCACAACAAGGGTCTTCTCATCAACCTGCTGCACTCCTGCTGGCCGTCCCTGCTCAAGCACCCCTCCTTCCTCCGCTAGATCATCACCCCTAGCACTCATCCACCCCTTTCCCCTTCCGTCCCCCCTATGCCCATGCCACCCACCAGGACCACGATGGATCCCACATCAAGGGGCTTTTGATCAACCTCCTGCACTCCTGCTGGCCGTCCCTGCTCAAGCACCCCTCCTTCCTCCGCGAATTCATCACCCCGATCGTCAAAGCCACCGGGCCTAGAGGCCGCACCCTCGCCTTCTACACCATACCTGAGTACGAGGCTTGGAAACGGACTTTAGGCTCGGAGGCGAGGCAGTGGAAGGTGAAGTACTACAAGGGTCTGGGCACGAGCACGCCCAAGGAGGCCAAGGAGTATTTTGCACAGCTGGACCGGCACAGGAAGGACTTTGAGTGGCGGGGGGAGGGCGACGGGGAGCGGATCGAGATGGCGTTTAGCAAGAAGGCGGTGGATGCGAGAAAGCAGTGGCTGCGCTCCTATGAGGTGAGCGGAGGGGTAGGATGGCGAAAGAGTGCAGGAGGGAGGGATTGGGTGGGGGAGGGCGATGGGGAGCGGATCGAGATGGCGTTTAGTAAAAAGGCGGTGGACGCCCGGAAGCAGTGGCTGTGCTCCTATGAGGTGAGTGCCCATCCCATAGGGCACCCATCGTTTTCTCCTCCGTTTTCCATAATCCAAATCCCCTATTCCACTGTTTCTCGCCTCCCATCGCCCCTCCCATTCCCCCCGTGCCACACCCTCAGCCCGGCACGTACCTGGACCAGACGGTGCAGCGCATCAGCTACAGCGACTTTGTGGACAAGGAGCTCATCCTCTACTCCATTGCTGACAACATGCGCTCCATCCCCTCCGTTGTGGACGGGCTCAAGCCGGGGCAGCGCAAGATCCTCTTCTCGTGCTTCAAGCGCAAGCTGCACTCAGATATCAAGGTGGGTGCTGAGGGGTGCTGTGCGGTGCTGTGGCATGACCTGCAGTGCATGCATGCGCTGGCGTGCGCTCCATCCCCTCCACGGGGAGCAGAGTCTGATGAGCACCATTGTGAGCCCCATCCACCTTAACCTCTCCACCCTTTCCCCCTGCCTTGTCCTCTTCCTAATCCTTCTGCAGGTGGCACAGCTGGCAGGGTACGTGTCAGAACACGCAGCGTACCATCACGGCGAGCAGAGTCTGATGAGCACCATTGTGAACCTCGCCCAGGACTTCGTGGGCAGCAACAACGTCCACCTGCTCGTTCCGTCCGGGCAGTTCGGAACTCGCCTGCAGGTGAGAAGGGGAGGGCGGAGAGCAGAGGGCAAAGGGGGGGTAGAGGGCGGAGGGCAGAGGGCACAGAGAGCAGAGGGCAGAGGGCACAGAGAGCAGAGGGCAGAGGGCACAGAGAGCAGTGGGCGGAGGGCACAGAGAGCAGTGGGCGGAGGGCACAGAGAGCAGTGGCAGAGGGCTGAGGGTCGAGGATTGAGGGCGGACAGCAGGAGACCAATGGAAGAGAGCCCGGGTTTATTGAGTAACGCATGCCTTGCTTCCATCTCTGTGTCCTGCCCGCCCTCGGTTTCGTCCTGTGGGTACACCTCAGGAGTGGAAGCGATGCAATGAGCCGCAGGTACATCTACATGCGTTAGCACAAGCTGATGAATTTGCGCCCTCTTCCATCTCTCTGCCCTATCACCGCCTTTCTCTTCCTCTTCTCCCTCCTCTCCCTTCTCTCCCTCCTCTCCAGCATCTCCTTCCTCTTCCTCCTCTCCCTCCTCTCCCTCCTCTCCCTCCTCTCCCGCCTCTCCCTCCTCTCCCTCCCCTCCCTCCTCTCCCGCCTCTCCCTCCTCTCCCTCCCCTCCCTCCTATCCATCCTCTCTCATCTCTCCCGCCTCTCCCTCCTCTCCCGCCTCTCCCTCCTCTGCCGCCTCTCCCGCCTCTCCCTCCTCTGCCGCCTCTCCCTCCTCTCCCTCCTCTCCCTCCTCTCCCTCCTCTCCCTCCTCTCCCTCCTCTCCCTCCTCTCCCTCCTCTCCCGCCTCTTCCTCCTCTCCCTCCCCTCCCGCCTCTCCCTCCTCTTCCTCCTCTCTCTTCTCTCCCATATCTCCGTCCTCTCCCGCCTCTCCCTCCACTCTCTCCTTTACCGCCTCTCCCTCCTCTCCCTCCTCTCCCTTCTCTCCATCCTCTCCATCCTGTCCCTCGTCGCCCTCCCCGCCCTCCTCTCCCTCCCCTCCCTCCCCTCCCTCCTCTCCCTCCCATCCCTCCTCTCTCCCCTCTCTCTCCTCTCTTCCTCCTCCCTGCCCCTCCTGTGTGTCTGTCTGTCTCCAGGGCGGCAAGGATGCGGCCAGTCCCAGGTACATCTACACGCGTCTGCACAGGCTGACACGTGTCATCTTCCCAGTGGCTGACGACGCCCTACTGGATTACCTGGATGACGATGGGCAGAGGATCGAACCCAAGTGGTGAGCTGCTGAGCTGATAGGGTGGGAGGGGAGAAAGGGAGGTGGGGGGAGAGGGATGTGAAGCACGGTCGGCAGCCGGGGTCCGTTATTGTGGTGTTGTGTGGTTAACGACGCACTGCTGGTTTTTTGAGTCGACTCAAAAGTCACCTTGTGAAGCACGGACGGCAGCTGGGGTCCGTTATTGTGGTGTTGTGTGGTAAACGACGCACTGCTGGATTTTTGAGTCGACTCAAAAGTCACCTTGTGAAGCACGGACGGCAGCTGGGGTCCGTTATTGTGGTGTTGTGTGGTTAACGACGCACTGCTGGATTTTTGAGTCGACTCAAAAGTCACCTTGTGAAGCACGGACGGCAGCTGGGGTCCGTTATTGTGGTGTTGTGTGGTTAACGACACACTGCTGGATTACCTGGATGACGACGGGCAGAGGATCGAACCCAAGTGGTGAGCTCTCTGGGGGGGGGGGGGGGGGGTTGGGGAGGAGAAGCGAGTAAGGAAGGTGGGCAACAGAGAAGCCGAGACGCTCGATGCGGGCCGTTATGGTGCTGTGTGGTTGGCGACTCACTGCTGTAGTATCGGGATTATGACAGGCAGAGGAGTGAACTCAAGTGGTGAGCCGCTGGGGGGGATTGGAGAGAGACTAGAGAAGGGGCTGGAGGGAATGGAGGAGGGGTGTATATGCCTATCCTTTCCCATCCTTCATTTTATCCTTGCCTTCCTAACCACCCCTCCTCCACTTCCCGTCTCTCTCCCCAGGTATGTGCCCATCCAGCCCCTGGTGATGATACGTGAAGGTAGTGCCCCTGGTGTGCCCCAGGCATGGGGTGCAGGTCGTATGAGCCTAATGTGCCCCCTTTTCTCTCCCCTCCCCCAAGGTACGTGCCCATCCTGCCCGTGGTGCTCATCAACGGCGGTGAAGGCATCGGCACGGGGTGGAGCTCGTATGTGCCCCATGTGCCCATATCCAACCCCCTCCCCTTCCCCTCCCCCCTCCCAGGTACGTGCCCATCCTGCCCATGGTTCTAATCAACGGCGGTGAAGGGATTGGCACGGGTCGGAGCTCGTACGTGCCCCATGTGCCTCACTACTCACTACCCTCGTCTATCCTTTCCTTCCCCACCCAACCCCCAGGTACGTGCCCATCCTGCCCATGGTGCTCATCAACGGCAGTGAGGGCATCGGCACGGGGTGGAGCTCGTATGTGCCAACGTTCAACCCACGGGACGTGGTGGCAAACCTCAAGAGGCGCATGCGAGGGGAGCCCATGCTGCCCATGCACCCCTGGTTCCGCGGATTCAAGGTGTGCAAGAGAGGGGGAGGACGAGGGGGGAGAGAAAAGGGGCCGTATGCTGGGGGGAAGCGGGAGTGAAGGGGAGGGAAGAGGGTGGCCGGGCTTGTCGTGTAGTGGGGTGGAAGGGCATCGGCACAGGGTGGAGTTCGTATGTGCCAACTTTCAACCCGCGGGACGAGGTGGCGAACCTCAAGAGGCGCATGAAAGGGGAGCCCATGCTGCCCATGCACCCCTGGTTCCGTGGCTTCAAGGTGTGCAGGGGGGGAGAAAAGGGGGGGTATGCTGTAGGGAAGCGGGAGGGAATGGGAGGGAAAGGGGTGGCAGGGTTTGTCCTTTAGTAGATTACTTGGCACGGGGTGGAGCTCGTATGTGCCGACGTTCAACCCGCGGGACGTGGTGGCGAACCTCAAGAGGCGCATGAAAGGGGAGCCCATGCTGCCCATGCACCCCTGGTTCCGTGGCTTCAAGGTCCGTAAGGGAGTGGGAGGATGAGGGGGTAGAGAGAAGGGGGTTTTCTCGGAGCGAGGGAAGGCGACGGAAGGGGAGGGAAAGGGGAGGCAGGGTTTGTCGTTTAGTGATTTAGAGGGCGGATATGTGTCACGGGGTGGAGCTCGTACGTGGCGGCGTTCAACCCGCGGGACGTGGTGGCAAACCTCAAAAGGCGCATGAGGGGCGAAGCGATGCTGACCATGCACCCCTGGTGCCGTGCCTTCAAGGTGAGTTGAGGAAGTGGAGTGGATGGGGGAGGGGGGGGGGGAGGTTGAGGGCTTGGGAATATTGGAAATGCTGCGTCTTCCTCTACTTCTCCCATCGATGTTTCTCCGCAACCTCTGTGTCACTTCTCTGTGTGCCTCCTCTCGCTGTAGCCCCTCTCACTGTTCTCACCCTATCTTTTGCTGCTCCTGTGGGTTGGCATGGCACATACCCTGTGTCCCCCCAACCATCCAGGGTTCCATCCAGCTGACGTCAGCGCGGCAGGGAGGAGGCAACTCGTACACCGTGACAGGTGTCGCGACGCGATTGGCCAGCAGCAGCGGCGGGCGCAAGGGCGAGAAGCAGCCGCAGCAGCAGGGAGTGACAGGTGTCGCGATCACAGAGCTCCCCATCCGCACGTGGACACAGAACTACAAGGAGTTTCTGGAAGGGATGATGGGAGGAGCGGGTGGTGGTCATGGTGGTGGGGAGGGAGGGGGAAAGGTGGCGCTGATTAAGGACATGAGGGAGTATCATACTGATACGTCGGTGCATTTTGAGGTAGAATTTACTGCTGAGGGAGCGGCGTATTTCATGGGAGAAGGAGGGACGGTGGGAGCGAGGAGAGGAAGTGCTGCAGCAGCTGCTGCTGCCTCTGCTGCTGCTGCTGCGGCGGCGGCGGCGGCGGCAGGGGCAGGTGCTGCAACTGCAACTGCAACTGGTACTGCCACTGGTGCTGCTGCAACGGCAGCAGCAGCTGGTGCTGCTGCTGCTGGGGTGGGTTTTCCTGAGGGTGAAGACCCGGAAGCGGGTGCAAGGTCGCCTGGGAGTGGAGACGTAGGGGGGGAGGGGATGGGCGGAGGAGGAGCGGGATGTGAGGGGGAGAGAGCAGAGGGGCAAGAGGAGGGGGAGGGAGAGGAGGCGAGGAGGGAGAGGGAGGAGAGGAGGGCGCGCGCGCAGTGGGCGGTGATGGAGAAGCGGCTGAAGCTGACAACGACGATGAACACGGGGAATATGCACCTGTTTGATGCAGATGGGCGCATGAAGAAATACGACAGCCCGGAAGACAGTGAGTCGAGGGAGTGTTTGGGGGGTTACGTGAGTGTGATGGGAGTGCTTCGGGAGACTCTGTGGGTGCTTTGCTTTCCACAGTAATCCGCCTGGAGTGCTACAAGTAGCACCTTCTGTGGAGTTTGAAGCAAAGCACCCACAGCAAGGTGTTGCAAGCAGGCAGGCAGCACCAGCTGGCTCACCTGAGATGAGACACACGAGCTGCCTTCAGCTTGCTGCGCGCCGCCCCTCTCTCTGTCTAATTTTCTCTGTTCATTTATCCCTTACGTTCTCTACGAACATCAGTTGTCGACGACTTTTACGGCATTCGCCTGGGGTACTACGAGCAGAGGAAGGAGCACCAGCTGGTGCAGCTGAGGCACGATCTGCCCTTCCCTTACCTCCTTCCCATCTATCTGTTCCTCTCTTGGTTCATTCTCTCTTTTTTACTACCTTTCACAGTCATCGAGGACTTTTACGGCATTCGCCTGGGGTACTACGAGCAGAGGAAGGAGCATCAACTCGCACAGCTGAGGCACGAGCTGCTGCGGCTGGACAACCGCGCTCGCTTCGTGCGGGCGGTGATTCAAGGGGATGTGGTGATCACTAACAGGAAACAGGCCGACATTGTGGCACAGCTCAAGGTGAGGGCTGGGGCTGTGGGGCTTTGCAAGTGCGGCTGGACAGCCGTACTCGCTTTGTGCAGGAGGTGATTCAGGGGGAGGTGGTGATTACTAACAGGAGGAAGCAGGCTGACATTGTGGCACAGCTCAAGGTGAGAATCGAAGTTCTGGGTCCATGCATGTGAAACAGTCACGGATTGTGCCGGCTGTGGTTGAGGTGCTGTGCTTGTGCCCTTTCCTCTCCCTTCCTCTTACACCCTCCCAGGCCCGTGGTCTCTCACCCTCCTCGAAAGCAGTTGCCCCTCCTCCTCCCCCCACGAAAAGGCCACTCCTCTATCTCATCCTCCTTTCTGTCACCATTTGCTCCCCCTCCCTCCCCTCGTTTCCTCCCCCTTCTCCTCTTGACCTTTCCCCAGGTACGTGGTTTCACCCCTCTTCCCAAGGGTCACGCGGCCGCCCCTGTGGTGGTTGCTGACGTGGACCCGGGCAGCACTGATGTCAGCGCGGATGGGGATGACGTGGAGATGGACGACGTGGAAACACCAGCAGGGCACAAGGCAGGGAAGGGGAAAAACACAGCAGCAGCAGGAAAATCAGGAGCCGCAGGAAAAACAGCAGCAGCAGGAGCAGTACCATCAGCAGGAGCAGTGGGAGCAGCGTATGAGTATCTGCTGGGAATGCCTTTGTGGAGCCTGACGTGGGAGCGCGTGGAGCAGTTGGAGCGGGAGAGGAGGGGCAAGGAGGAGGAGGTGGTGGTGCTGCAGGCGACCTCGCCCCTGCAGCTGTGGGAGAGAGACCTGGATTTGTTCCTGGAGACTCTTGAGGTGAGTAAAGGGAGAGGGTATGCGTTTGCACGTGGTGCTGTGTGTGTGAATAGCAGTAGCATCACCATCAGCAGCACCAGCAGCAGTGCTGCGAGGAGGAGGAGGTGGTGCCGCTGCAGTCCACGTCGCCTCAGCAGCTGTGAGAGAGAGACCATGGCCATGGTTCGACAACCTGCTCTCCCGTTTCCGTGTTCCATTTTGTTCCACTGACCCTGGACCCGGGGCTTAGTGAACTTCTTTGCACCCTTGTGAATAGACAGACGCCCCTTGAGACCTCTCAAGAGTGAGCCATCCGTTGCACTGACTGAGGACCCAGTACTTTCTGACTAAACTGCATCTTGTGCGTGTGGGTGTGTGTGTTTCTGTGTGTGCATGTGGTGTGTGTTCTGTGTGTGTGGCGTATGCGCATGTGTGTGTGTGAGTGAGTGTGTGCACAATCGGACCAACAGGAAGTGGAGGCAGAGGCGGCTGAGGAGGAGAGGGAGAGGGAGCGGGCAGCCAATAATCACAAGGCACGTGGCAGGAACGCAGCAGGAAGGAAGGGTGGCAAGCAGCAGGCAGGGGGGGCAAGCAGGGGGAAGAAAGCAGGGGTAACTGGGGGAGGGGGGACTGGGGGAGGGGGAGGAGGAGGGGGCAGGGGGAAGGCAAAGGGTGCAGTTGGAGAAACAGGGATCAGAGATGGGGGAAGGCTGGAAGGGGACAGGCCGCAGGGTGGTGTAGGGTTTGGGGAGGAGGAGAGGCAGGGGAAGCAGAAGGGGAAACAGCAGACACTGCTGGGAACCATGTGGGGCAAGGGGAAGTTGAAGGGGCTGGGAACTGCTTTGGGTGCTGCTGCTGCTGCTGGTGGTGTGGCTGCTGCTGCTGATGGTACCGGTGCTGGTGGTGATACTGCTGCTCCTGCTGCTGCCACTGCTGCTGCTGGTGGTCTTGATGCGGATAGGGGAGATGGGACACAGTTGGACGAGACTGGCAGCATAGCAGCGAGTGATGGGAGCAGTGGGGAGAATGAAGAGAAGAGGGAGGAGGGTGGTACGGATGCCAGTGAAGAAATGGATGAGGACGGGGAGGGAGAGGAGGGGAGTGAGAGTGAGGAGGAGGACGAGGAGGAGGAAGAGGAGGACAGTGAAGATGATACTGACTTTGAGCCAACAACAGCAAAGAGTGAGTGATTCTGGGCAGTTGGGATATCTTTGAGTCGACTACATGTGAGTGAGTGGGAACGACAAGGAGGAAGAGGAGGAGAGTGAAGATGATAGTAACTTTGAGCCAACAACAGCAAAGAGTGAGTGATTCTGAGCAATAGGACATGCAACAGGAAATCCGAAAGTTGTTTGTTCTAGGATGTTGCCTATGTCCTTCGTCACAGGTGTGTTGACTCGTTGCCCTCCGGTATCATCCTGCCTCTGTGTGTGTGTGTGTGTGTGTGTGCAGCAAAGGGCAGGGGTGCAGCGCCAATGGATGCGCCAACCCCAAGACAGTCCACTCCCCGCTACTCCTCCCGCCTCACACGCACCCAAGCAGCAGCAGCAGCAGCAGCAGCAGCAGCAGCATCACCAGCAGCTGCTGCTCCTCCTGATGCAGCGTCTCCCCAGCAGTCGATTGAACAGGCAGACACACAGGCACTGGGAAATGCGTACGCACAGGGAGAGAATGATGCAGAAATGTCAGGAGGGCAGGGAGGAGAGCAAGAGCAAGAGGATGTGGATGTGAATCCATCACCGCCCTTCCCACCGCCGTCGCCAGCAGCAGCAGGAGGCATGAGGGAATCGCCTCCTGTGATTGAAATGACATCATCGGAGGAAGGAGGGGCGTTTGGTTTGCAGGTCGGTGGGCTGCGTCTGGGTGACTCGGTGTCAGATGCAGGCGATACAAGCAACACGAGCAGTGGCAACGCACATAATGGCGACACTAGCAATGGCTCCAACAGTCCAAGTAAGCTCGCCTCAATTGCATCCTGTAATCTTACAATTTCAACTCTCTCGCATAAATGGGATCGTCTCGCCTTTATCCGATCCTCTTCCTTGCCTCGATTCTTTTGCTTGTTTCGTCTGCCATTACGTTCAGATTCGTGTAGTGCTTTTCACTCACACAATCGTCCCGTTACCCTTGTTCTGGTTATTTCTTAATTTCAAAATCCACCTTTCACTCACACGGTCTTCCCATCCCCCCTGGGCTGCACTCACCAACAGGTGCTGCCTCTGATCCATACTCTCTCCATGCATCTCCCTCCGCATCCCCACCGCTCTCCACTCCTCTCCACACCTCTTCCACCCCCAACCCCCCCACAAGCACAGCCACACCTGTCCCAGCCACGCCGCTCCCATCCCGCCGTTCTACTCGTGCTGTTGCGTCTGCATCGCCTTCTAGTGCAGCTGCTGCAACACCATCAGTACCAGCAACACCAGCAACGCCATCAGTACCATTAGTCTCACAAGCACCTGGTGCGCCTGCACTAGCACCCTCAGCACCAACTGCACCCCCGGTTCCTGCTGCAGGAGCCCCAGCACCTGCTGCTGCACTCTCTGTGCCTGCAGAAACCCCGGTACCAGCCCGCGCAGCTACAGCCTCCCAAAGCGTACAGGTCCCTCTTATGGACGTGCTTAGAGAGGGGGGTAGGGCGCAGTCACTGGCAGGTAAAGGCCGAGGGGGAGGGAGAGGGAGAGGGGCAGGGGGGAGAGGGCGAGGAGGAGCAAGTGGGAGAGGGAGAGGGGGGAGGGGAGGAAGAGGAAGAGGGGGAGCAGCATCAGCTAGTGGTAGTGGTGGTGGAAGTGGAGGTGGTAGAGGGCCAGTTGAGGTGGTTGATTTGGATGATTAGCATCGTGCTGCTAAGCGTAAGTTGGGGTTACCCGTATGCGAAAAAGTAGCAGAGGTGTGGATGGAGTGGACTCTGCTGCTAATATGTTTTCTGTTGTAAGTCTTGGATAGAGCGGGGCGGGACTCTTCTGTGCATCAGCCAGCAGCACACGTAGCAGTGGAATGATACTGGGAACTGTTCTACTTGTCTGTCAAGGCAGGAAATTTTCTGTGTGTGGGGCAGTCAGAATGATGAGAAGGTTTGTTCATGCACTAAGTTTGTACTCATACATTATATGTACGAAGGAAATCTTGCTGACTGTAGTAATGGTTTCATTATACCATAGCTTTGTGGGGCACTTTTTAGATGGGGATGAGCTGGTCCAAGCTCGCTTATACACCAGCTCTAACACTCTTAAAGCTGCGGTCTACATGCTGAGTGGTGTTTTTTTAGTGTATTTTTTATGCCCACCCTTTCGTGCGTTCTGATTGGAGAACGAAGTCAGCATGTTTCAGAAACACCGCAGCAGGCGAACTCAGACAGGAGACGCGAATCCAGCCCAATTTCGTGCTGACGGGTGGTTTGGAGGAGGGTTTGCGGAAGGGCGGGAAACAACCTGGGGAGTTTGGTTTCGTGCGGAAAGTACCCCAACCCCCTCTCTCCACCCCTCTCAACCGTTAGCTTTGCAGGATAGGGGGCCGAGTCCAAAAAATGGTCACCCTGTTTTCAAGTGATAATCTCTGCCCTCCCGCTCGAAGTATGTAGGCTGCAGCTTTAAAACCGAAACATTCGGTGCAGTATTGCATCCTAATAACATTCGACGTCGTACTACTGCCTAGTGCATCACCTGTTATCCCAATCGTCACTCTTGTCAATACCCATCCAACTCCAGGTCATACCGTAGTGTATCCCTCTGGTACAAGCTCATTATATGGAACATGTTACATGTACCGTACTTCTCCTACACATCACACACCTACCAAGCTGGCTTCGACAATTGCGCACGCATACAGCTGCATCTCCCTGCGCGTCTTGGTGAGTTCGGGATCCGGGCGGCGGCCTCTTTGAGCCCGCTGTCCTATGTTTGCGGGTGGGCGCAGGCCGCGCGGGACATTGCACAGTTAGGGGTGGCGGGCGAGGAGGCGATGTTTGCTGAGTACCTCACCACTTCGACAGGGGCAGAGTTTCTTGACCCGTGGTTTGTCAAGGCTCTCGAGCAGGTGCCAGCGACTATCCGCCACGAGATACCGGGCTTACCTCTGTGTGTAGCGGCCCCTCCTGTTCGGCTTTTCCAGGCGCGTCAGCGGCAGTTAGCTGTAGAGGAGCTCCAAGCACTGTGCCGCTTGGCTCGTAACGATGCTACCTTGGCCCGTTTCACATCCCTTCAGGGCCCGGGGGCAGGTGCATGGGTTTCGGCGGTTCCGGCTCACTCAGATCTTACATTCACTATGGCTGAGTGGGGCATTGCTGCTGCTATACGGCTCGGCCTCCCAATTCAGCAGCTGCAGCTGGCGGGGAGGTGTGTTTGTGGCACAGTGTATGTTGACTCAGCAGACCCGCACCATGCCCTGAGATGCAGGCACCAGCATGGTCCTTCTCGGGTGCATGATGAGGTGAAGTTTGCGGTGGCGAAGATCTCTAAGGCGTCGGGGGGGGGGGGGTGGTGACATTGGAGGATAGTGTGGTGCTGCAAGGGAAGCGGGTTGATGTGGCGGTGCGACGTCCAATGGCTGGAGAGGCTCACGCCCTAGAGATCAGCGTCGCGGACCCGCTATCGCTGTCTCCATCACTGCTGGGACAGTGCGGGCGTCAAATAGGTGTGGCGGCAAGGGAATGGGAGCGTCGCAAAACGAGTGATTACGCGCCTCTGCTTGCACGCAATCGGGGCGTGCAGTTCACCCCTTTGATAGTTGAGACGTGGGGGTGTCTCGGCGGTCGTTTTCAGCGGTGGCTTCGTCAGCAGGGGGATGCGCACGTGGGGCTAGCTGTGTCGCGGGGGGCATGTCGAGAGGACGACTCTGTGTTTTCGGCTTATCTTTTAGGGTCATTGAAGGCGCTCATCGGGGTGGCGTTACAACGTGCGCAGGCCCGTGTCATCCTGCTTCGAGCGGCGTCTTCCATGGGGGGGATTAATGTAGATTTGGCGGATCGGGAGAGGGACGATGTTGATGTGGAAGGCGGGGCTCTCTGGGTGGAGGCCAAGGTTCTCGCTAGGTTTAGGGCCTGTCTGACAGTACCCTCAAAAACATTTTCCCCGTCTTAGGCTTTGACGACGAAATTTTTGTGGTCTGCAGTATAAGCTGAAATATTTTTCCTAGTCTGATAAACTAGACGAAAAAAAAAACCAAGTCAGCCTACAAGAACACTACCTGCAATTATACTCATTCTATCAAACAACCTAGGCAGTAGCTAAGGACCTAGTCAGAGTCACTAGAGCCGTAGTCCTCATTGCTATCACTACTACCATCCTCACTCCCCACGGGAACTGTGGCCCGTTCTTTCCTGGTAAGCCACGGGTACTCAACATCCATCCTTGCTGCTTCTGCTACCAGGGCCGCTTCTCGAGCAGCTGCTTCTGTTGCTGCCAGTGCAGCTGCTGCTGCTGCAGCTGCGGCCGATCTCTTCCTCGCACGCTTGCTCTGTCTCTCCCCGGACGCCATCAGCACATCGTTAGCAGGCCTTCGCTTCTTGGAAGCATTCCACCTCCTCAGCAACTCGGGCCACTCCATGTCATAGTTTAGGAGGGACACAGCCATCAGCTCTCCCAGCTTCGCGTCGCACAGGTTCCCGCGAAGCCAACTCTTGATGATGTTTTGTCGTGAGAAGCCGCGCTCGCACTCGACGGTACTGAGCGGAAGCACGGCGACAGCCATCTACAGGTGGACGAGGTTCGGGTAGCACGTCGCCCAGTCGGGGGAGGAAAGCATGAGTTTCAGGCTGTCCGCACACCCGACATCCTCTTGGTGTGTGGCCAGGATGGTAGAGAAGGTGACAAGCTCTCGCTGCGCTCTCGCCCAGTTGATGCCTGCGGTTGGGGTGCACATGGGAACATTGGAATTGGTGATGTAGTGTTTAGACAAGCATGGGGAGACAACGCTAAACATACAGCTCATTCCCGGCATTTAACGCACCTGGTATAGTGTCAGGGTCATCTGGCTTCCGCTTGAACATGTTGCGCAGAGACTGGAGCCATTGGCCTAGCCGTCGCTCACGCTTTGCCTGGTTCTTGGGATAGAATCTCTGCTTCAACAGCTTCGCCCCGTCGAGGTTTGACAGGTCCTTGAGGCGGTAGTCGAGCCGGCCGACCAGGGTCGTGATGAACTCGCGCGCCAGCACCAAACACGCTTGGTGGTCCACACCGCTCGTCTGCCCCTTGATTTTCTCCTCGTGCAGTCGGTATCGATGGCTGACCGATGTGCCGTCGGAAGCAGTGCCAGCAACGAGGATCTCGCGGAACTCCCCAGATGCGTGCTTGTCGAGGAACGGGCCCAACGCGTCTCCCCCCTGGCCAAACATCGCGTCGTCGCAGTCGAGGTAGCGTGTGCGCAGCAGTAAGGTCGTGTTGTGCACCATCGGCAGCACATGGGTTGCCTCAACCTGTAAACGGGGGTGCACAAGCAGGATGGTTAGTAAGAGATTGTAAATGAAAAAACCGGCCACGTGTAACTCGCGAAACTGTTTACCTGACGCCGCTGAAACTTCAAGCTTAGCAGGTTGAGCTCCTTCAAGACGTCAGAAAGGAAGAACAACAGGAAATGGAACTTATAGCTCGTTACGACTTGATACATCTTCTTGTTTGTTTCGTGCAACACCATGACTGCAGCAGGAAAAACCTTCACCAGGCGCTGGATGGCGTCACCACGCGACAACCATCTGACGTCCTTGATGCCTTGAACTTCAAGATGGGTCTCGCAAATGACCTCCTGAAGCTCTTGAAACCGGGCGTGGTTAACACAGGAACGACCGAGGTTCTCAGCCACGGCGCGGACCACCTTGTCCACGACGTTGAAGTCAGGATGCTTGGCGGCAGCATCCTTGGCCGCCAAGGCCTCCCTGCAAGACAACAGATGGTAACATTAGCACGGGTGTTTTTAAAACAAGTAGGCAGGAAACGCGCAGTAACAACGCTTACCTGTGCGCGATGCAGTGAGACGACACAAGGTGAGGAACCTTGACTTTCAGGCGCGCGGTGACTCCATTGTGCTGTCCAAGCATGACGGAAGCACCATCAGTGCTCATACCGGTGAGGCGCTGTAGGTCGATGCCGGTACTCTCCAGATGCGTCAGGAGCACTGTGGTGAGTGACGCGGCGTCACACTGCTCCACACTGAGCAAGGCGAAGAACTCCGTGACGGGTGCATTGTCACGCATGAACGTCAAATAGACGATCATGTGCTTCCCCCGCCGTCGGTCGGTGCTCTCGTCTAGCTGGATGCCAAGGTACAGACTGTCGCGGATGTGCTTCAGCTGGCGGGACTTGAGGTAGCACACCATGGTCTCGACCAGTTGTGCGAAGCCGTACCTGAGACACCACGGGTTGATACTCGTTAGACTCCTAAACAAATAACAAAAAAAAGATGAGTAAAATGGGACACTTACTCGGTGTAGTACGTCCCGTTCTCCTTCAGGGGCAAATCCGGTGTCCCCTGCTCTGCCATGAATTGAACCAAAGCCACGAAAAGAAAATGGGAGCATCAGACTTGCAAATGAATAGCACGATAGCCATCAACCGAGCAATACGCTTGACATCAGCGTCCCCACGGTGGAAGTCAGCAATTGACTTCTGCACTTTCTTGACGCCGTCGCGCTCCTCCTTCCTCAAGACCGCGGCCTCGTGTTTCAGACTGTGGTGATGCTTGCGCATCGTCTGCTTCTGGATGTCGATGCCGCCATCGCCGTTACGCCCGTATTTGTAGTTCGGGTCACCGAAGACCATGCAGACGCTGCAGCGCATGCACGGGCGGCCTGCCTTGTTTTCGGAGATGAGGAGCCAAGGAAAATACCGCTGCCACTGCTGCTTGCACTTCAACTGAAGCTCCTCAACCGACAGTTGCTTGCCCTTCGGGTCTTCGAAGTCTTCACTCGCGGGTTCAGGTTCTGGTTCCGCGGGGCGCGGAAGAACTGACGGTGCTGGCTGAGTCGGACCGCCCGGACGGCAGACGGTGAGAACACGCTGTTTATACCGCTTCATAGATCTGTCAGGCGAGACGGGGTTAGCACTGCGAGAGGTTGTAGCGACCGACACTGGAGGGATGCTCTTATTTGCACATTCGTCAGGGAGCGGGGGGGATAACAGCGTTGTTGGGGTAGTCGTTGCTGGCACGTGTTGATCGCCATTTTCCGAGTTGGGCAAAGGTACCGCAGCAGAGGTCGACGCAATCGGAGGGGCAGCAGAAGCGATCTGCTTGCCCCGCGTTAGGAAGTCTAGGGCGGAAAGCACGGGCTCCCCATCGCACGGTCCGCCGGCGGGGACGGCCATAGCCTAGACGCTGGGAAGCGTCACGCTGGGAAATCAGACGCTGGGAGGGAAACGATCCATGCTCGGCTGGGAGAGAGGTGAGGACGAGCAGGAGAAACAGGCTTGTTTTCAAGCCAGACCCAGCTGCATGAAACCCCATCACCGTGCACTGCACTCAGAACCGAAAGGCGGTGCGTGTTGGGAGCGGGGGGCACTACGACCACAGTGATGTGTTGCGCGCCCTCTACGAAAAGCAAATGCGCTGGCACAACGGGACAGCGCGTTGTCGTGGCTGTGGCTGGCGTCGCCGCCGACAGCCACCCAAACGACAAACGCCTGGCAGCATATGCCGCAGATACATGCCAGCGAGGCTGCACAAGGCAGTTACAGACCTGTATAAGACACGCGTAATGAATGCGCGTGCAGTTACAAGGCAGCAATCGGCTGTACCTGTGGTGGTCCTGTCCTCTGGTCAACTGGGCCTATGGCCTAGTGGGTCAAGTTGTCGGTTTCAGACGAAACCGAACTCGCTATCAGTATCCTCAGATAAAAAATTCTACACGTCTGAAAAAATCATACGAACTTAAAAGTCAAATCTTGCTGATCAGATGAGAACAAACACAAAATCTTAGGATTAAGATGAATACAAAAAAACCAGTCTTAAACGCAGACCATCAGACCAAATTGGTCTGATAACGAGAACCCTGGTGGAGGCCCCGTACATGGTCGATACGTTGATGTGATTGGGGGGGGGGGGGGAGGGGGAGGGGGGGGGGGGGGGGGATGGGGCGTGGGATGGGATGTCTTGATGGAATGTCTTGACTGGGCGTTTTGATTGGGTATCTTGAGGGGGGGTTTTATGTGTGTTGCATTTGGGTTCTTCTTGGGAGTTTCATTTTCCTTCGCCCTTTCTTTCTCCATCCCCTTTCTTTTTCAGACACACTAAGGCCGCTCTGACCTGAAGTGAAGCTGGCCCTTGTACCAATACCCGTCCAGCTCAGTGTCACAGTAATCCCTTCGGTACGTGCTCAAATCATACAGGATTCTGTCTTCATATGTCTCTTCCTCCTCCAGCAGGAAATGTACAGTAGGTAGCCCATCACCCATCCAACTCCGGGTCATAGTTATCTTTTAGATAAGTGCTCATATCATAAGGAATGCGCTCCATGTACTTCTCTTCCTCCTCCAGCAGTGCGTAAGGGTCGATGTAGCTTGGGGGTTGCCGGCCCTCCCCGTAACTCTTGCCCGGATGCACAAAGTCGGATCCCAGGAACTGGTCACACAATAAAGAGAATGACAGCAGAATGAGGAGGCCTAGTCAGTCGCGTGATTTAGCATCCCTTGAGAAATATGCATAGAGTGCAGAGAGCAGCAATAACGAAATCAAGTTTTGACAATGCAGACCATGCAATGCATCAGAGCCTGTTCAGAGCCTCCGAGAGACAGCCAGCTCAGATTTGAGCTGGATGGGTATGGACCATAACCATCCATTTTGTGAGCAGCTCAGCTGCTCACAATGGCCTTTCGGAAAAGGCTCACGAAGCAGCGAAGCATAAAAAGAGGGCCGGTTTACCCAGACCAGACTGGTAACGTGGGTGAAGAGAACAACTTACCAGGTACACAGCGATGAAGAGAACAACTTACCAGGTACATAGCGGTGAAGACAGTGATAATGGCGAGAGCAAAGGGCCAGAGCGGCAGGTAGAAGGAGACTCCCAGCTTCAGCAGCTCAGCTGCTCGTGCCGGCAGGCCCTGGTGGGTGTGAGATGCGGATGCAGTGGAGGGTGGAAGGTAGAGAATGGAAGTAATGGTGGAGAGAATGGAAACGGAGGAACAAAAAGGAGACAACTGGTTGGTATTGGTAAAAGAACATTTCCTGCTTGAGCCGCTCCGCTGCTGTGCTAAAGGGCCCTGAACGGGTAGGAGGACTTCTATTGCACTCGAGCCAACTCTCCGCTTCACAGCCACAGCTTACGCGCTCCCATATCCTCCTTTTTGTTTTCACTTTGGAAACCTAACCTGCCCCCTATCCTACCTTTAGTACCTAAAGCCAAGAGCACCTCATATCAGAAGCTTTGTAACCGGCGCCCTGCTTCCTCCCCCCCCATACCTCGAGCCCTTCACTATTGAGCGCGTTAGAAACCGCCCGCTGGTCGCGCATTCCCGGCCCCCCTCCCGCGCCACTTCCCCCCCCCCCTCCGCTCCCCGCTTCTGCGCCGGGTGCCTTGCTGGCAGGGTCTGATTGGCTGTTGGAGGACTGGGCCGCGCGCCGGCGCCGCAATTCGCGCATGAATTGCGACTCCGTGGAGGGGTTGCTCGAGCTGTTGTCTGCGGGGAAGGTTCACAACGGTTTGGAATGGGTTGAAATTATGTTGGATAGAGTTGAATTGGGTTGATTTGGGTTGTTTTGCGGTGAAGAGTGTGTTTGCGAAGCGCCTTAGAACATGAGCGCCGAAAATCGCGCGTGAATTGCAGTTTGCTGGGAAAATGCCAGGGATGGGGGGTTCTAGGGGGAGGGGTTGGAAGTATGTTGCGTGAACAAGACGGCCCAACTCGCGCATAGATTGCGGCTCAAAGGAAAGATCTCCAGGAGAGAGGTCTTTGGGGGGAAATAACAGGATGGGCACGAGAACGGGCAGGGCATCAAGGCAGTCGCACGTACCGTCTGGTTTCTCCGCCATTGCTCGTATCCGCAATCCCCCAGCGCGCCTCACGCGCACTCCAGAGACGGAGGCGACGCGGCTTTGCGCTTCAAAGCGCGCAGGAAGCCGTTGTGGGGAAGGAATGGGTAGCGAGTGGGAACTTGCGGCGAAGGTGCGCACGGGCGCCATGGCTGCTTGGAGCCCGGGATGGCACGAATGCGCAGCGGGCGTGGCTGCGCGCGCTGCTAACATGGCGGTGCTGGCGGAGAGATGCTGGCGGAGAGATGCTGGCGCAGAAATACTGGCAAATGTCTTACTGCGGAAAAGGGTAAGCTACCACGTTTCCGCGCTTAATTATCCTTGTGCTGCTTCGGCTGAAGGGAATGACAGGGACGAAGTCTGCTTCAGTCCCGACGGCGAAGTCGCTTCGGATTACTCTGGCAAAAGTTGTCGCTGCGACGAATGTCGCCCTTGCGCGATTGACCAGGCAAATGGGATGGGACCAGCGTTGCGATCGCGGACTAGCACGGTGGCAGGCTGCAAGCTGCGGCGGGAGTGGGATTTGGCGAAGCTTTATGCTGAAATAGGCGGCGAGTTCGGGAAATTAGGACATTCACAGACCGTTGCTTTCGGGGAGGACGAGGAGTGAAGGTATTTGAGGGTGACAGACGGACGACTCGAAAGCGCGGGGGGAAGGTGCAGAATGTGAAATCATGGCCAGCTGTCCGCTTGGGATAAGCTGGGGAAACCTAGGTGAAGTGAACGTGGTCGGCATTGGAAGCCTCGAAAGGCTGACAAATTTGCCGACGCCACGTCAGATCCATGTGCACCTTGGAGGATCTCCAGAAGCATTCACCTACGCCAATCAGAGAAACATACAGGTCAGGACGAGGTGGAGCTGACAAAATCGTATACGCGTTGAGGAAATGGTATCGCCGACAGCAAGTACACCGTTTCCCGCTTAAAACGCTCATCCAAGTCTGAGTAGAATTGCTCATTTTCCAGGCAATTTTTTTTTTACCCTTATTTCCACAGGTACCCCATAGAACTTACACTACCCGACATAAATAAGATCCCTGGATAGCATATTGATACCGCTGTTCCTACAAAACGGTCTATCCGAATAAGGAATTAGTGTTCAAAGAACAGGGGAGCAGCCGCTAGAGCAGCTGTAGCAAGCAGGTTGAGCAGGATGTGAAGTGTGGGTGCTAGTGTCTCCCGCAGAGTACCACCAACCCTGAGATGAAACACCATAAAGAAAAAATAGCAAAAACAAAATACAATGAAGCCAAATAAACCATATAGCACTCCCATGCACATGAAAAAAGGCGGTAAATCTCAAACAGGTACACCCATGTATTGCTTACGTGTCGCCAGTGATGGTGGCTTTGTGTGCTTCACTCCCCGGCCCTCCCAAGTGCCCTGCTTCCACCACATCCCTGGCGCCCCTCCACGCACTGCCAGCCCCGTTGAAGAGCGCTGCCAGGAGCAGCGTCACCAGCACCGCGACTAGAAGCAGCGCCGCCACCGCCCGTGCTCCCAAGAGAGGCTGGAGGGTGGCTTTGCCTACTGACCGCACTATGATGCCTGTGAGGTGATGGGGGGAGGCGGGGGATGAGAGTGAAGGGAGAGAGAGAGAGAGAGAGAGAGAGAGAGAGAGAGAGAGAGAGAGAGAGAGAGAGAGAGAGAGAGAGAGAGAGAGAGAGAGAGAGAGAGAGAGAGAGAGAGAGACGGTCATACCGCAGCCGACGCCAGCGCGCCGACGAAGCGAAAACGAGACGGTCGCGGCGCCGCAGACAGGGCGCGAGGGAGCTGCTGTTGGAAGAGCAACGCGTGGAATCCGCGTAGGATGCGGCAGCCGCTGCGGACGACGAGGTAACGAGAGAGGACGAAGAGGTGGTGGAACACGAGGTTCAAACAGGCGCCGCACAGGTGCAAGCGGCTACGCGAGAAATGCGGAAAGGCTGATGCGAAACGGCACGGAGGGCGGCGAGGAACCGCTTAGCGAGGAGGCAGAGGAGGAAGTGGAGAATGAGGAAAGTGACGAGGGTGACCCTGCTTTTAACCCGGAAAGAGAGGGGATGTTGGGGGCAGAAGCTGAGGAGGACGAGGAGGAGTTGGAACTTTTGCTTCGAGGAGAGGAGCTCTCCAGCCCAAATGTCCGAGGCGAACCTGCCAACCTAACCACAGCTCAGAACCGAGCCGCGGGGGGAAATCACGCAAGGAGGGGAAATCGAGCTGCGACAGAGACTGGAGTTGACTCTGCGACAGCCAATGAGAATTCAGCAGCCCCAATTCCGACCCCCCCAATGCTCAAACCCGACGACCTGGCGAAAAATACTGACCTGTTCGCCCAGGTTGCCGACTGGGACATTGGCCCGCTGCGAGACAGTCGCCAACCCCCAGTCGCCCGCCACCCTCCAAAAGACCTTCGCGAGTCTTTCGCGATTTGCCTGCTGACACTGTTACTCCACCTGGCAGCCAACCCCGAGTCAGAACCTGGCTGGATGTTACTCACCTTCCTCCCTCGCTTACTTCTTCGCTCCTCGTCAGCTCGTAAGCCTGACTGGAGCGCAATGATGAACAGGCTCCTGCGGTTTCGCCAAGGGCTCTGGGCCGGCCTCTACGAAGAAGCTACCGAATCGATCTCCCTCCCCCCGCAGCCTCGCCACGCACCTGACACAACTGGAATTCTCGCCAGAGCGGAGGGCCTGGCGAAGCGTAGTAACCTCTCAAAATCGTTGCAATCCCTGCAAGCCACGCCCGTGTCGCCAGCCTCACCTGAAGTTCTCAAGGCCCTCAAGACGAGACACCCACCTGCATCCCAACAACTACCTGATTGGCTGCACGCTGCCACAGCGGAAAACCCTCCCGCTATCGAAGCCCGCGACTTCGGAAGGATCATCGCCAAGCTCCCCAATGGAGTGGGGGCGGGCCCCTCAGGAACTACCTTCGAACATCTCCGTGATGCAGCACTAGGAAACGCCGAAGTCTTCACCCACCTCCTAGCTCCACCAACACGGCTCTGGCAAGGAAGCTACCAGCCGTTGCAGGAGAGCTACTTACCGCCTCTCGTCTTTTGGCCTTCACGAAACCGCACGGTGGGACGAGGCCGATCGCGGTTGGGGAATGCCTACTTCGGATCATCGCCAAAGCCGCTCTTTTCCTAATCGCGCCCGCCGCTAGATCTCACTTCGTCCCCCTTCAGTTCGGCGTGGCGGTAGCGGGGGGCATTGAGGCCGCTATACACACGGCACGTACTTACCTGGAGGTCCACCCCGCGGCAGTAGCGCTACAGATCGACCTCGCGAACGCGTTCAACGCGGTCGAGAGGAGAGCGGTGTTCGAGGGGTTGAGGAACGAAGCGCTCGAGAGCCTCACCCCCCTGGTCCGCCTGTCTTATGGAGTCCCCTCCTCGCTCTTCCTCGACCATGAGTTCGCAGCGGCTCCACTGCAAAGCGCCAGGGGGGTCCGCCAAGGTGATCCCCTCGGCCCCCTTCTATTCGCCGCCAGCATCCACCCCTGCCTCGTTGCGACGGCCGCGGCTCACCTGCAGGTGGTCCTACTCGCCTACGCCGACGACATCACGCTGCTCGGTGATGCGTCTACCTGCGCCGCGGCCTTCGACCACCTCACAGCCGCGCTCGCCTCCATGGGGCTCCTTCACAACCCTGCTAAGTGCGCGGCTTGGTCCGCCGCCCCAATTGACCCTGCCTCCGTCCCCCCCGGCATCACCATCTCGACCGAAGGGCTGCAAATCCTCGGCAGCCCCGTCGGCACAACGCAGGGCTGCGCCGCGGCAGTCAGGGACAGGCTTACGGCAGCAGCTGAACCGCTCCCGTTGCTAGCGCAAATGGACCCGCAGCTCTGCCTCCTCCTCCTCACACGTTGCGTCAGCCGCCGCGCCTCCTTCCTGGCAAGGACAACCCCGCTGGAGGTCCTGCCCACAGCAGAATGGTCGGTATGGGGGGAGCGGCTGCTCCACGCGTTCCTAGAGGCCGCGCACATTGTCGCGCCAAGAAGCAACGCGGAAAGGAGGCGTATTTGGCGGCAGGCAGCGCTCCCCGTTACCTTGGGGGGTTTAGGCATTACGGACCCGGCCGTGGAAGGGAGTTACACGTACCTCGCTTCGGTGGTCGGAGCGGCTCACCTCCTGCACTCGCTAGCCGACTCCCTACACCCCGCCATAGCCGCACTGCTCCCCCTTATGGACTCCGCCCCGGACTCCGCAGCAGCCCTGCCCTCGCGCCTAGCTGCAGCTGAAGCAACCCTGCCCCCTGACGGCCTGGAGGCCCTTCAGGCTGGTAAGAGCGACCCCAAGGGACTGAAGCTCCAGCAGTCCCTGGCCCTGGTGGTCCACACCCGCCGCTACCTCCGAGTGCTGAACACGGCGCGGTGTATGCGCCCAAACCCCCTCTCAGGGCATGCTCAGCGGATGCAGTCCCTGCTGGGCCCGGGAGCAGGGGACTGGCTGCTGGCAATCCCACTCTCTTGTGCGCTGAGGCTGGGCCCCTCCCAACACTCTACTGCTTCCGCCTTCCGCCTAGGCCTCCCCCTCCCTGTCCCAAGGCGGTGCGACTGCCGATACCGCACCACCTTTCCTGATGACCGCCTCCCGAATCACCTTATGCGCTGCGAGAAAGGAAAAGGGAGGACTGCCACACACCATGCTCTCAGGGATGAAATCGCAAGGATAGGGGCGGAAGCAGGCTTCACGGTTCACAAGGAGACCTATGCCTACTCTCTGGTTGAAAACCTTAAAGCGGATGTCTCCATCCGCCATCCCCTGACCGGAGAAGTGTGGCTTTGTGACGTGACCGTGACAGACCCAGTGTCCTTCCAGGACGAGAACTGCAACCGCGCCCCTGGTTGGGCGGCTAGGGCGGCAGCTGCTCGGAAGGAGGAGAAATATGCGGGACGGAATGCGTGGGTGGGGTTCCACGCCTTGGCCGTGGAGACCTGCGGCTACCCGTCGCCGGGGCTTACCTGCGGCAGTGCGCGGAACTGGCTGCGAAGCTCCGCTACAACGCGGCCCCTACCTCTCGAGAGGCTGCCAAGCTGCTGACGGAGTACCGCCAGCGCTGGAGCGTGTGCCTCCAGAGGGCACAGGCAAATGCCCTCCGCACCAAGACCAACAAGGCCCTGGAGGCGGACGAGCTCAGCCTGCAAGGGCCGTGGGCCCCTCTCAACGAGGGGCAGCTGCACCAGCTGATCGAGCCCCCGTCCGACCACTAGGGTCAGACAGCGGGGGGAGGGGAGGGGAGTAGGTGATGGTTGATAGGTCTGCTTGTTTGCCTTGTTTGCATGTGTTTGCTTCAAACCTTTGTACCACCCTTCAGCTAATGCACGGGCCATTCGAGAGAGAGAGAGGGGTAGGGAAGATGAAGGGGCAGGGAGCGAACAGCAGCGTCACCAGCAGCAGTGCCGCCAGCAGGGTTAAATGGCCTTACCTACTTACCGCACTATGATGCCTGTGAGGCGATGGGGGGAAGGAGAGGAGAGAAGGGGTAGGATGGTAGCAGGGTTGTGTTTGAGGAGGGACAATTGGAACAAGGGAAAGAGCCACCATGGATAGAAATACAGCGAGGCGTTACAAAAAAAAAAGTGGTGCTATCTTACTGTACTAACTATGTTGCCCTACATCAATCATACCCATGGCGATTGGAGCAGCGACAGCGAGCAGGCCTGGCAGCAGCAGCTCCTTGAGACTCACAGCCTCTGAGGCACCTTGCACACAGCACTCTCTGTATTGCACAAATCAGATTTTCAGTAGCAGTGCATCGATCGCACTCACCCATGGCGATTGGAGCAGCGACAGCGAGCAGGCCTGGCAGCAGCAGCTCCCTGAGGCTCACAGCCGCCACTGCAGCCACGAAGCGAGATGGGTCATCCAGTACCATGGGCGCCCTCGGGTATGCCTGCTGGGAACCGGGTTGGTGGGGAAAGGGAGGGGAGGGTACATACGAGGATTCAGTATGTGCGTGGACTCATGAGGCTCACTGCACAGCCGCCACTGCACAGCCGCCACTGCACAGCCGCCACTGCACCCACGAAGCCAGATGGATCATCCAGTACCATGGGCGCCCTCGGGTATGCCTGCTGGGAGAATGGGTTGGGGGAGAAACGGGAGGGAATGGGGAGAAGAAGAGATGATGGGGTGGCTGAGAGAGAGAGAGGACGAGTGGATGCATGAAAGAATATGGTAGCAGACAGAGAGTCAGCAAAAATAGAGGTGGATGCAGGTACTCCATGTCAGAGGGCCTTCCTGCGAAGTTGGGACAGGACAGCCCCCAAAAGTGCACCGCGGTGGTTCCAGCCTGGCAGCTCAAAAGATGCTTTCACGTGCTCACCAACTTCTGTGTGTGCGACCGTTTCGGCGTTCCACATCCCAGCGCCCCAATCAAAAGTCACTGCACGACTCCATCTACACTCTGCGATCGCATCCCATGGGGTTTGACGGCGAAGATGTTGAACTGTACTGGGCCATGATCGCATCCTGCCTTCGCACGTTGGGCTCAACCCAACTGCGACGTCCACATTCGTCCCCCCGCCACCTCATCACAATGCCCCATGCCTTGCACGTGCCATGTGCACTTTTCGCTGTCCCGACTTCGAAGTTGGGACAGCCCAGGAAGGCGATCTCAAAGACATACTCTAAATCTAAATTCACACACATATATATATATATGTTATTGCGTGTTTGGAATCTAGTTATCAATGCTTCTGTAAGAGAATTGACCTTGACCTTACCATCCGCATTCTCTCCCAGAGCAATAACAGCATCTTTATCGCGCTATAAAGAGAAGAAAAAGAAGGGAAAACCCAAAAAAAAAGGCACGCTCTCTCCCCTCCCAGCATACCTTCTCCTCAGCTCGGTGGTGCAGGTGCTTCCTTCCCTCCCTAACCACAATGGCCGTGCACTGAATCACTCCACACATTCTTTATAAGAGCGCCGGCTATTCTCAACTTGCTTTTGAGTTGAGCCACCCCAGCATACCTTCTCCTCGGCTCGGTGGTGCAGGTGTCTGCGTCCCTCTCGCACAACAATGGCCGTGCACCGCGTCACCCCAGAACCTGCCATCGCCACGCCTCCCACCACCACTGCCGCCCCCACCATGCACGCCACTAGCAGCTCTGGCCGCAGCAGGTCAATCTGGCGTTGGGATTGGGTGGGAGTGTGGGAAAAGGAAGGAGCAGCACTAATACGAATTGGATGGCTGAGTCACCCCACCTCCTGCCATCGCCTCCCAACACCACCATGCACGCCACTAGCAACTCTGGCCGCAGCAGGTCAATCTGGCGTTGGGATTGGGTGGGAGTGTGGGTCAGGGAGAGGAGCAGCATAATCATTTCTTGGACGGAAAACGGAGTCACTTTACATGCTGCCACCGCCACGCCTGCCACCACCACTGCCGCCCCCACCATGCACGCCACTAGCAGCTCTGGCCGCAACAGGTCAATCTAGTGTTTGATGGGGGAGTGTGGGAGAGAGAGAGGGAAAGGAGCAGTGCAATCATTGATTGGGCAGAAAGCGTAGTTTCTCCACTCCACATGGTGCCTTTGCCACAACTCTAGAGCACACTACCACTGCCGTCCCCCTCCCCCACCATGCACTCCACCAGCATCTCTGCCTGCAGCAGCTGAGTTGATTATTGAGGCGCCTTAAAAATCAACTCTAGAGCACACTACCACTGCCGCCCCCCTCCCACCATGCACTCCACCAGCATCTCTGCCTGCAGCAACTCTACCTCCGAGCAGGATGGGAAAGATAGGAGGCAAAAAAAAAAAGGAAAAAAAAAAGAGGGATACGAGATAGAGAGGAAAGGATGGGTAGGGTAAGATGACAAATATGAGTGATCAGTCCAATAAGCCTGGCTGCAACTCACATGATACAGAGCTGTGCCAGTGTAGGAGGAGACAAGAGGCACAAAGGCATGTACGAGAGCACCGGAGAGCAGAGAAGAGCGAGGGGGCACCACACACACCCCATGGCATGTCAGACAGACGTCTCAGAACTCACATTGTGCAGTGCTGTGCTGGAGTAAGAGGAGACAAGGGCCACAAAGGCGTGCACAAGCAGCAGAGAGCAGAGCGAGGAGGCACCACACCCCATGCCCCGAGTAGCCGACGCCACAGCTGATGCTGCTGCCTCCAAGGGACTGACTGGCGTCCGTACCACAGCCGCTGCCGCTGCTGCCGCGGCCGCCGCTGCTGGGGATGCTGATGCTGAAGATGAGGGAGCGTGGGGAGGAAGCGCGGAGGATTGTAACGAAGACGACTGTAACGAGGATGAGGAGTCCCCTGTGCTGCCTGCTGCTGCAAACCCTCCTGCTGCCATCTCTCCTGTCGCTACCCCTCCACCTACCCCTCCCGTTGCTGCAGCTGCGTCTGAGGATACTTGTTGTTGCAACAGATGCGGTGATCCTCCTGCTGCTGCCATATGGTCTGAAGACATGCCGCCTCCGTCTTGCATGCCCATGCCATATGCGTCCATGCCATGTGATGGCATGCTGTGAGCTGCCATGCCATGTGCGTCCATGCCATGTGATGCCATGCCATGTGCGTCCATGCCATGTGATGCCATGCTGTGTGCTGCCATGCCATGTGCGTCCTGCATCACATCATGTGCTGCCGGGCCGAGACTGAACTCCTGCATCTGCTGCATCTGCCCCTGCTGCTGCTGCTTCTGGTGCTGCACGTAGGAGAATGGGACGGGGGAGGAAACGGAGGTGAAGGAAGGGAAGAAGAGAGAGCGGGAGAGAAATCAAGGGAAAGTTAGTTCATCGGGAAAAAGGCAGGTAAGTATTAGGTACCATTGGAACAAGGTCGTGTGCAGAAACCCACCCACGTGAGCAGTAACCCACCCACGTGAGCAGTAACCCACCCACGTGAGCAGTAACCCACCCACGTGAGCAGTAACCCACCCACGTGTGCCATCATTTTACCAAGTAACCCAGCGTGTGAAACAGCGAGCTGAAACAAATCAGTGGTGAGGGAGAAGCACCCACTACTAAGCATCCCCATCACCGCCACAGCCAGGCCCAGCAACCCCCCTGCCGACTCCCCCTTCCCATCCACCAGCCCCAACAGCCCCCCCACGGGCTCTCCCAAGTTTCCCCCTTTCACCAGCTATCAGGCCTATCCTCATCCACCAGTCCCCGTAACCTTGGTTGACCCCCACCCACCTGTGCCATCATTTTACACGTGTGAAACAGCCAGCTGAAACAAATCCGTGGTGAGGGAGAAGCACCCGCTGCTGAGCATACCCATCACCGCTACAGCCAGCCCCAGCAGAGTAAACCCCCACTCCCTCACCAGCAACTCCCTCTTTTCCCATCCACCACCCCCTTTGGTTGACCTCGTGTCCCCGACTCACCTGAGCCATCATTTTACACAGCAAGCCGGCATGCGAAACAGCCAGCTGAAACAAGTCAGTGGTGAGGGAGAAGCACCCGCTGCTGAGCATACCCATGACCGCCACAGCCAGGCCCAGCAGTCCCCCTGCCAGCTCCCCCTTCCCATCCACCAGCCCCCTTGGTTGACCTTGTGTCTCTCACTCACCTGTGCCATCATTCTACAAACCAGGCCGGCATGCGAAACAGCCAGCTGAAACAAGTCAGTGGTGAGGGAGAAGCACCCGCTGCTGAGCAGACCTATGACCGCCACAGCCAGGCCCAGCAGTCCCCCTGCCAGCTCCCCCTTCCCATCCACCAGCCCCCTTGGTTGACCTTGTGTCTCTCACTCACCTGTGCCATCATTCTACAAACCAGGCCGGCATGCGAAACAGCCAGCTGAAACAAGTCAGTGGTGAGGGAGAAGCACCCGCTGCTGAGCAGACCTATGACCGCCACAGCCAGGCCCAGCAGTCCCCCTGCCAGCTCCCCCTTCCCATCCACCAGCCCCCTTGGTTGACCTTGTGTCTCTCACTCACCTGTGCCATCATTTTACAAAGCAGGCCGGCATGCGAAACAGCCAGCTGAAACAGATCCGTGGTGAGGGAGAAGCACCCGCTGCTGAGCATCCCCATCACCGCCACAGCCAGGCCCAGCAGCCCCCCTGCAGGCTCCCCCTTCCCATCCACCAGCCCCGAATTCCGCCCCAGCCACACCGCCGCCGCCACGGCCAATCCCACGATGACAGCTGGCGGCGCGGCGGCGGCAATCCCGAGGGCGAGGCCGGAGGAGATGTTGGATGCGTGGCCGGAGGAGGAGGCGATTGCGAGGGAGCGGACGGGGGGGAGGTGCGGGGCGGAGAGGAGGGAGGAGGAGAGGAGGAGGAGGATGGAGGAGAGCATTCCGAGGAGGGCGCAGAAGAAGAAGTGCAGCCAGGCTAGAGGGGCCTGCTCCGTGAATAGCAACCACCTGGTCGCCTGGAAAGGGCGGGTTGTGAATGGGATGGGCACAAATGGGAAAACAAAAGGGAAAGGTGGGGGAGCAAGGGGGGATACGTAAGGGCTGTGCTCATCTTAATATAGTCACCTGGTCACCTGAGGGTTGATTTGGGTGGGTAGGGACGAGAGAGGAGCATTGGGAGGAGGATGGAGGAGAGCATTCCGAGGAGGGCGCAAAGGAAGAAGTGCAGCCAGGTGTTTTGGTGCTGTGAGCAACACATACAGTGCCCCTCCGTGATGCAACAAGCAACCCACTTACCAGGGCAAAGGAGGAGACAGCGAGCACAAGCGAGAGGGCATATCCGTTGAATACACACCCCACCACCTCCTCTGCTGCTGCGGGCAGCACAGCAAACCATACCAGAAACACCCATACAGAGCCCCCCCATTCAGGGGCTACAATGGGAGCCACTTACCAGGGCGAATGATGAGACAGCGAGCACAAGCGAGAGCGCGTATCCGTTGAATACACACCCCACCACCTCCTCTGCTGCTGTGGGCAGCACTGATCCCCGCACCATGGGCGAGCGGGGAGAGGAGCGGAAGAGCGGCGAGTGCGAGGAGAAGGGGGAGGAGGAGGAGGAGTAAGAGGAAGAGGAGTCGACGGGGAGAGAGTGAGGGAGGCGGGAGGAGCCAGCAGCAGCAGAGACGGAGAGTATGGCTGCGGCTGATGTGAGGAGGTCGAGAGAGAGCACCACGAGGGGCAGAAGAATGAACCCTGTTGGGTCTGGATTGGTAAGGAGAGGGGAGGGAGGGAAGGGAAGGGGGGGAGGGCAAGGAGGGAGGTGTATGTAAGGTCGATGATGACATGTGTGGGGCCTGGCTTTTGAGGGGCCTCAAAAGTTGTGAGGCGCCTCAAAAGGTGCATGTAAGGTCGATGATGACATGTGTGGGGCCTGGAGTGGGAGAGTGTGAAGCAAACGAGTGGAATGGGGGGGAAATCAGGGAAGGGAAAAGAGTGAAAGAAGTGCTGCAAGGGAAGCAAACCTACTGTCGATGGCGCAGTGCTGTGCCACATGCGCCCCCAGCACCATCGACGCCAAAGCCAAGGCAAATCCTGAGTCGCTTCTGAGATTAATCAAAAGCAAAGGCAAACCTACTGTCGATGGCGCAGTGCTGTGCCACATGCGCCCCCAGCACCATCGATGCCACTGCCTCCGCTGCAGCCAGGCAGAACGCCTCACACGCCCTCGCTGCCCCCCTCGCCGTGCCCACCCCCACCTGCTCTCCACGGACGCATGGAGAAGGATACGAGGGTGGGGGTGAGAGGGAAGAAGACAGGATATATATATATATATATATATATATATATATATATATATATATATATATATATATATATATATATATTAGGCAACTTGATGCAGGGGGTAATACAGAGAGGAGGGAGGAGCGAGAAGCGAGTTTTAACGACCCTTCAAAATAGGCCTTAAGAAAACAAAACCTCGAAAACAGACCCACCATGTCAGCAACAGCAACAACATTGGCGCCCCCTCCTGCCGCCTCAGATGCGCTTCTGTCCATCCTCGATATAAGCTTGTGGCCCAGAGCCAGGGAGCGGGAGAAGATGGACGGCGGGAGGTGGTAGAAGAGAGACACCACTGCCGCCCCGAAACAGAAGCAGACAAGCAATGCCGGCACTGCGGTGGGAGGGGTGAGTAGGGGGAGGATGGAGGGAAGGTGAGGTACGGAGGAGAGGATAAAAGGCAGAATCAAGATGAGGCAAGAGAGTGAAGTTGCGTTATATTTTCGGCTTTTCACTGCTTGCTTACAATCAGTGGGCTTAAGGCCTGCTGAAGCCATAGCTGAACCCGCAGTAGCGGCCGAGGCAGCAGTGGCGGAGACGCCTCTTCGTTTTTGTGCAGTGAGGGAGGCGGGGAGCGGGGCGAGGTGCATGTGGAAGAAGGCGAGCAGGGCGCTGTAGTTGATGCCCAGCCCCACCACCGGCACTGCTGCCACCACCAGCGCTGCTGCTCCCGCTGCTCGGATTGCAACCTGTGGGTGGGGAGCGGTTGAAAACGATACGCATGGGAGGGGTTGACAGAACCATATGCATGGGGTATTGTGCAAGAAAGGAAGAAGGCGAGCAGGGCGCTGTAGTTGATGCCCATCCCCACCACTGGCACTGCTGCCACCACCAGCGCTGCTGCTCCCGCTGCTCGGATTGCAACCTGTGGGTGGGGAGCGGTTGAAAACGATACGCATGGGAGGGGTTGACAGAACCATATGCATGGGGTATTGTGCAAGAAAGGAAGAAGGCGAGCAGGGCGCTGTAGTTGATGCCCATCCCCACCACCGGCACTGCTGCCACCACCAGCACTGCTGCCCCCGCTGCTCGGATTGCAACCTGGGGATGGGGAGGGTTGTTGCGTTAACTTGTGGTAGCCCTTGTTGCGTTAACTTTGTGGTAGCCCTAACTCGGCTTCCAGTCATTCTCTCTCTTGCCTACCTCCACAACCTCATTTTCTCCCCAACCCCTCACTCCCTTTCCTTTCTTGGAAAATTCCGAACGCACCATTTCTTGGCCTCTGCCTACAGTTGATTTTTTAGTGTGGTTGTGCTGCCGTCAAGACAGGGACACGAGTGTGTTCTGGTTTTCTCACCTGAAGGGCCTCCTGAGGGGATCGCCTGGCAGCAACAGCAATCCTGGCAGCAGCCGGCACGGACAGGTGTAAACAAATACCACTGTATTCGTATTAGTATTCGATATTCGACAAATATCAAATACAAATCAAATACAAATGCCCCTTACAATTCGAAAGTATTTGACGTTCAAGTATTCGAGTATTCGGTTTAGATAACCGGTTATTCGAATACATATTCGATTCGTTCTTAAGTTACTGAACCACTCAAACCAGCCGCTATTATTCACGAAATCTTGAGTAAACAATACAAAGGACTCTACAGAACGGCCGTCAGAGCCATGCTAACTGAGCAAGGGGCCAATGAGTTAGAGTAAAAGGGTGTGAATGATACTTCAGTATGCATTTAAGCCCCACCGTGAATCATGAGATCCTTGTTTGAGCTACAATATGCTATTCGAAACCGTATTCGACACACCATGTATTCGAATTGTATTCGAATTCGTGGAGGGACAGGTATTCGAACAAATACAAATACAGCCATGTATTCAACAATTATTCGTTTTAGATAACCGTATTCGAATCCGTATTCGTTTTTACACCCTTACAACCACACAGTAGCGTGTGCAGCAAGAGTCATGCAGAACCCTCCCAGGAGGAAGGCGAGGAGAGAAGCGAAATGACAATGCCTTTGTTCTTTTACCTGAAGGGCCTCCTGAGGGGATCACCTGGCAGCAGTGGCAATCCTGGCAGCAGCCGGAACAGACACCCACACAGCAGCATGCGCGGCAAGGGCCATGCAGGACCCTCCCAGGAGGAAAGAAGGAGAGCAGCGAGACGATAACATGCGTTTTTTTACCTGAAGGGCCTCTTGGGGGGATCGCCTGGCAGCAGTGGCAATCCTGGCAGCAGCAGGCACGGAAACCCACACAGCAGCGTGTGCTGCAAGAGCAATGCAGGACCCTCCCAGGAGGAAAGAAGGAGAGCAGCGAGACGACAACATGCGTTTTTTTACCTGAAGAGCCTCTTGGGGGGATCGCCTGGCAGCAGTGGCAATCCTGGCAGCAGCAGGCACGGACACCCACACTGCAGCGTGTGCTGCAAGAGCCATGCAGGACCCTCCCAGGAGGAAAGAAGGAGAGCAGCGAGACGACAACATGCGTTTTTTTACCTGAAGGGCCTCTTGGGGGGATCGCCTGGCAGCAGCAGCAATCCTGGCAGCAGCAGGCACGGACACCCACACAGCAGCGTGCGCTGCAAGAGCCATGCAGGAGCCTCCCAGGAGGAAGGAGAGCAGCGAGACAAAGGCGAGCAGGGAGCGGTGCACCCCGGTGGCCTCCTGCTGAGGTGAGAGCTGGTGAGAGAGGTGGATGAGCGCCACCAGCATGGTGGCCACTAGCACCGCCTTGGCTGCTGCTGCTGTCACCGCTGCTCGGAGAGTTGAGGCCCCTCTTTGGACGGCTGCTGTCACCTGGTGGGGGCAGGAGAAGTGAAGAGAAATGACAAGGAGTGAAGAGGAGTGAGGTGGCATGAGGGAAAGGTTCAGGGAGGGAGAGATGAGGGAGAACGGTGCATGCCGGTGGCCTCCTGCTGAGGCGAGAGCTGGTGGGAGAGGTGGATGAGTGCCACCAGCATGGTGGCCACTAGCACCGCCTTGGCTGCTGCCGCTGTTACGGCTGCTCGCAGTGTGGACGCTCCCCTTTGGACCGCTGCTGTCACCTGGTGTGGGCAGGGAGGAGCGCACGAGGGGTGACGAAGACTGAGACGACTTTTGAGGCGCCTCAAAAGTCGCAGCGTGGCCGCTCCCCTTTGGACCGCTGCTGTCACCTGATGTGGGCAGGGAGGAGTGCAAGAGGGGTGACGAGGACTGAGGAGGAAATTTTTGAGTCGACTCAAAAATAGGATGCCCCCCGCTGCACTGCTGCTGTCACCTGGTGTGGGCAGGCACGGAGGAGCGCAAGAGGGGTGGCGAGGACTGAGGAGGAAATGGGAGTGGCTAACGAAGGGAGGGAGGAGAGAGGGAGCAGCGCACGCCCATGACCTCCTGCCGAGGCGTGATGTCTAAAACAAGAAAACAAAAACATACTGAAAACGAAATTGCTAACAATGTGAAGACAGTGTGAGTGAGTGACCACAACGTGTGGGAGGGAAAGGGGGTGAAGCAGACAAAGAGCACAACAAGCAGGTTGACAGGGAGTGAGGAGGTCTGGAGCTGCTCCTCACCCCCATCCTCCAACCCAACCCCCACAACCACCCCCACCCCCAACCCACCTTTGGTCATCATATTTGGTCCGCATCCAGGAGCCAAGCAGTCAGGGGAGCACGGGGACAGGAAGTGCAAAGAGGCAAAGAGCCAGGGGAGCACGGGGACAGGAAGTGCAAAGAGGCAAAGAGCCAGGGGAGCACGGGGACAGGAAGTGCAAAGAGCACGGGGACAGGAAGTGCAAAGAGCACGGGGACAGGAAGTGCAAAGAGCACGGGGACAGGAAGTGCAAAGAGCACGGGGACAGGAAGTGCAAAGAGCACGGGGACAGGAAGTTCAAAGAGCATGGCAGCAGCGGCGACGAGGAAGACGGGGATGAGCACCGGGGAGGTGAGCGAGGCCAGCAGGAACGCCAGCAGGAAGGGCGAGCAGGCAGACGAGCAGCGGGGCTAGCAGGAAGGCGAGAAGGTGGGCAGAGAACGCATGGGCCTTGTTGCTATCCCTGAGAGCCAACCCACCTGTCTGAGGGTGTTCCCGCCGTCATCCCTGGACCGCACCCAGGAGGCGAGTAGCGAGGCAAAGAGCACGGCAGCAGCGGCGAGGAGGAAGACGGCCAGTGCCATCCCAACCCACAAGCTTCCCCTCCCCCTCCCCCCACCTAAACCTAGACTAACAACCCACCTGTCTGAGGGTGTTCCCTCCATCATCCCTGGACCGCACCCAGGAGGCGAGCAGGGAGGCAAAGAGCACGGCCACAGCGGCTAGGAGGAAGACGGGTATGAGCACCGGGGAGGTGAGCGAGGCGAGTAGGAACGCCAGCAGGAAGGGCGCTGCTACCAGCAGCCTCGCCACCTTTATTCCACGGAACAGGTCAGGACTCTGGGAAAGGGGGTGGGGAGAAGGGGGGTTATGTTGTGGGAAGGGGGGTGCAGGTGATAAGCAACGGTTAAGCTGGCAGAAGGCTATTTGCAAGAAGGGCGACGCTACTAGCAGTCTCACCTCCTTTATTCCGCGGAACAGATCAGGACTCTGGGGAAGGGGGTGGGGAGGGGACGGGGAAAAGGTGAGAGAAGGTCAGGGTTTTTGGGGGACTGGGGAGGAAGAGTGGGGGGAGGGCGGGAGGGGAAGGGCAAGGGGGAAAAAAACAGCTAGCCGAACAGCATGAGTGAAGCGGAGCGAGCTAAGGAGCTAGGCGGATCTTACGGGCAATCGAGAACGAAAACAATGGGCACTCAGAAAAGGAAAAACTGGTCGTAAAATGGATCAGAAATTCCAAACAATAAAGATTCAGGGCGGGGAGGGGAGAGCACTGACGAGGTCGGGCACCACCACCACATGCTGCGCTAGACTGTCCTCGAACGGCGTCCGCGCCATGGGCTGACTCGTTTATAGGCGCCGATAGAGCAGGCCTGGGATGAGCTACCATCAAGTGCGGACCAATCAGCGGCTGCTCTGAAGGGGTTTGCGGTGCTGGGAGGATGTTGATTTGGAGGAGGAAGGGAAGGGGATGGAGGAGGAGGAGGGGGAGAGATGGAGAGGGGTGAGGTTTGGGGAGGTTGCAGTCATAATCCACCAGGTCAGCAGTCAGGTTATGAGACCATGGCAGATGCTAACGTTTGCGAGAGTAGCGACTCTTGAATAGGAGCTGGGTAGAAGAGGTGTAGGGTTGACTCAATGAGACCTGGACGTACGAGCTGCAGCTTGACGGCCTACATCCGCGTTGTGAGTTCGCTCACGAATAAGGCAAGGACGTTCACGCCTCGCAGCTGCATTCACGCACTCGCATTCTCGTATTCGCAATCGCATTCTTGCGATCGCATTCTCGTATTCGCGATCGCATTCTCGTATTCGCAATCGCATTCGCTTATTCACAGTCGAATTCTCGCAATCCATTCTCGTATTCGCAGTCGCAATCGCATTCACGTTCTCTCAGTCGCCAGCCTCACAGTCGCATTCTCGCAATCGAATATTCGCACTAAGCCATTCCCGCACTCGCGATGGGGAGTCAATGCCACCATTGTCAATCTCACCTGTAAATTAGGAGGTGAGCGGCACGGTAAGCTTCAGATGTATCTGGTATGGAATCGCAACATTAGGATTCGACAGCGCGCGGCCATGGTAGGTGAAGCGTCCCGTTGCCAGTCTCACTCAACTCCTGATTTTGTTTTGCTGCTCAGAAAGCGAAGTGACGTGAACACCCTTGTTGCTGCTTGCGACAAAATCGAGGGAAGTGTTCGGTAGAGGATAACTCGAATAACCGACGGCTTTAGCATGTGGAAACAATTGGAGTTTAGAAAAACCAGCCTGCTATGTGATAGTATTAACAATGTTTGCTTTCAGCACAAGTTCACAATACAAGCAGGCGATTCATGTCAATTCCTTATAAACAATAAACCACAAGCATCTCCTGAAAGCATCACCCGATTGCTCGCCATCCACGTTCACAGGCAGAAGAAACCCTGACACCACATGAAACTTGAGCACTTGCAGTTTCCTGCCCTTGCAACCCAGGTGATTACTTTCCCTTGTAACCAGCAGTCTCCCTCTCACAACCGAACCCAGTGTACCACCACCACAGTGTTGCGAAATAGTAGAAATTCGAAAAAGTAGAAATTCCTTACCGCTATTCCAGTGGTACTCTGCATCAACACCTCTTCTCATCCATCTCAACTTAAATCCCCTCCCCAGTCTCCGCTCTTCCCCAACGCTCCCTCTCTCTCCTCTCCCCCTCAACCTCAACTTCCTCCAAACTCTTCCTGTGCCTCCCCCTTCCATTCACCAATAGCATCCTCACCTCACCATGCAAGAAACATCTTTCTACCGTAAATTCCATAGCCATTCCACTTAAAGCCTTTGTCACTCCACCCTTCCACTCAAAAAGCCTCATCCTTACCTCACGGTTGGACATCAACGTAATCTGCATCGTCCACCTCACTCCATATTCCAGCCCTCTTCCCCATACCCCTCGGCTTCCTTGACTTACCTCGCCCTCTTGCTCTCCAAGGCCATTTCGCCTGCAGCCCACAGTGCATATCCGCAAGAAGAACCTGCTAATGAGAATGTGTGGCCCCTTCACCTGCCACTCCTCCACCATCCATCTCCCCCATTCGTCGGGGGTTCTTCACTTTGGCACCGCAGTGCCGGCAGCAGAACCGAGCGTGCCGCACATACATGTGGAAATGGTCCAAACTCACACACGCATGGTCGGAAACCCCCTCCCCTTGCTGCCACTGGCTCCTCCTTTAAATCTCATCTCTCCCCACTCTTCCAATCCCAGTAGCTTCTGCCCCCGAACTCCCGTCCTCTCCCTCTCTGCCCTCCTCTGCCTCTCTTCCCCCTCCTGCCCCTGCCCCTGACTCTTCCAGTCACCGCGGGTTTTTCACCTTGGCACCGCAGTGTCGGCAGCAGAACCGGGTGTGACGCACATACATGTGGAAATGGTCCAGACTGCCACACGCGTGATGGGAAAACCCCTCCCTCCCTGGCGCCTGCTTGTCCCTAAACCCCACGCCGTGCCGCCCGCAGAATCCAATTGCCTTCACCTCGGGCAGCTGCAGCAGACCGGGCGGCAGATAGTCCAAACCGCAGCCGTCCACCACGAGAATGTGCAGACGGGGGAGTGCGCCGCCCAAGACTCGGTTGGTGGTTCTAGTAGCTGCCCCAGCGGCAGTAGTGGCGGTGGTGGTGGCTGTGGTTGTCGCGGTGGGGGTGGCAATCGCAGTGGCAGTAGCAGTAGTGGTGGTGGTAGCTGTGGTGGTGAGAGACGGAACGGGGATGCTAGAATTCACAGCAGTGGTGGTGGTAGCTGTGGTGGTGGCAGGTCTGGTTTCTGTGAAGGGATTCGGGTTTGATTCAGCCGGAGCATTGCTGCTGGGAGCGCAGCTGCTGGGAGCACTGCCGAACGCACTGCTGCTACTGGGAGTGCTGCTGAGAGCACTGCTTCTGCCTTGATCCTTTGCTCCTCCTCCACCTGCTGCAGCGCCGCTGCCACCTGCTGCTGTGCTAGCTGCACCATCTGTGCCGAACCTGCTTCCACCCAGGCCAAAGGCCGCACTGAACGAAAAGAAACTGCTGATGGGGGTAGCGCTGCTAGTGGATGCTGCAACAAGAGCCCTTGCTGCTGGTGGTGGTGGTGGCGGCGGTGGTGGTGGCGGTGGTGGCGGTGCAGTGGTAGGTGCTGCTGCTGCCGATGTGGCTGCTGCTGACGTGGCTGCTAGAGGAGTGACTGCTGGCGAGACAAATGCAGGCACGAAATTCCCAGCACCAAGCGAAGCAGAGGCAGGCGGAGGTGGGGGGATGCCAGACAGCAGAGGGTTGCAAGCAGCTGACGGGCTGGACGACGGAGGAGGAAGATTGAAGGACGCAGGGGACGGCCCAGGAGCGGCAGAGAGGCGCAGGGAGGAGTAGAGGCCGTGGGGGAAGGAGTTTTCAAAGTAGGCGAGCAGAGGCGGGCTGCCGGACAGCCATCCCTCGAGGTAATGCAGGTGGGAGAGGCGCGAGAGCACCCTCTCGTAGTGGTGCAGATGGCGTGCCGGCCTGAACGATGCTGCTGCTGATGGTGATGCGGAAGATGATGCGATGTGTGGGGGTCGCAAGGACGATGCGGTGGCTGTGGATGTGGATGTGGATGTGGTGGTAGGGAAGGGGAAGTGCACGGGAGAGTCATCGTCCCACGTCTCCTCTTCGTCCTCTGATCTATTGCCCTCGTCCTCATCCCCATCATCAGTCTCACTCTCCTCCTCTTCCTCCTCGTCACTCACGTAACTCTCGTCATCCTCCTCGTCTGAAGAATCTCCCTCAAATTCATCGTCATCATCATCTACCCCTGCTTTCCCCACCCTCCTCCTCCCCATCCCACTCCCCTCCCCTCGCCCCGCTCCCTCCATCCCTCCCCCTCTCACTCTCCTCCATCCCGCACCAGCCCACCTCCGCCTCTTCCTCCCCCCCTCCCTCTCCCCCTCTGCTCCCTCCAGCCCAAACCCAAGGTCGTCTAGAGCAGGGCAATCCGCTACAATCAGCTCCGTTAGGGTTTCCCACTGCTTCAGGGCGTTGGGGGGGAGGGAAGCCAATCGCCAGCAGTCGTGTATCACCAGGCACTGTAGCACGGGCAGGTTCGCCATGGAAACGGGCAGCTCTTCCAGGCGCGGGCAGAGCGATAGGCCAAAAACTTTCAGCGCGGGCAGCTGCCCGAGAGAGTCGGGCAGGCGTTCGAGGGACGGGAGCTTGAGCAGGAGCAGCGTGTCAAGGGCAGGAAGCTGCCCGAGGTCTTCGGGCAGGGAAATGAGCGAAGCACAGTCGGAAATTTCCAGGAAACGGAGAGAGGAAAGGGTGGCGGAGAGGTGTGGAGGGTTGGTGAGAGGGAGGGGTGGGTCGTGGAAAGAGTACGGCCCTGGAGCAGCAGCAGCAGCAGCGGCGGCAGCAGCAGCAGAAGCAGCATAAGAAGGTGACCTGGTTGTGTTGCTGGGTGTAATGGTGTTGGGGGCTGCGGGCGCAGTAAGGCCAAACAGCGTGCTGACAGCTGATGCATGAGCAGCATCAGCATGAGCATCAGCAGCAGCACCTGCAGAAGTCGAAGCATCTTCAAGAGACAGCTCATCCAGTGACCTATGCCGCTCACGCCGCTCCAACCAACCGAATCCACCCGAACCTCCCGCCCTCAACCCGCCAGCGTTCCCGCCACCAAGACCCAACGCAGAGGACGCAACGCGGAAGGGCGGCAGGGTGGTCAAATGCCGGGCGCCATTCACGCACAGCCGCTCCAGCCCCGACAGATGCGCCCAGGACTCAGGCACCTCCCGCAACGCATCGCACCCCTCCGCCTCCAACACTCGCAGACCCCTCAGGTGCCCTATCGACTCTGGTAACCCTACCAGACTCGGCAGCTGCTTTAACTCCATACTCTCAAGCCTCACCAGACACCCTATGTCTTCGGGCAGACTCGCTAGCCTCTCGCATCGGACAACTTCTAGGGTTACTAGGGCTGTCAGCTGCGCTGTGCCGGCCGGAAGAAGCTGTAGCGCGCTACAGTCGCTCAGGCGGAGGCGGGAGAGGCGGGAAAGCTCGGCGAGCGAATCCGGGAGGGCGGTCAGCGTAGCGCACTGCGACAGATGGAGTTCCTCGAGATTGGATAACCCGCCTAGGGAATCCGGGAGGCATGTGAGGCGCTCCGATTCCAGTTTGAGCACTCGGAGGGTTCCCACGCGGCCTAGGGTTTCGGGAAGCATCAAGAGGTCGAACGCGTTGATCTCGAGGTGCTCCAGCGCGGGCAGATCGCCGATGGACGGCGGGAGATGGTGGAAGCAACGGCTGGAGATGCGGATGGTTCGGAGGGAGGAGAGGAGGGAGAGGTTGCAGTGAGTGGAGGTGAAGCGAGAGAGGGTGCTTACAGATGGTTGACCTAGGTGCTCACTTTGACCGAGTTCTAGGGCTTCGAGTTGTGTTAGGAGGTTGACGGTGGGCGGGAGGGCGGAGACGCGGCGGTAGGAGAGGAGACGGATGACCTGGAGCCGCGGGCAGCCGCGAAATAAATTGGACAGACCGGCTTCGCTGAAGCGCGTGCGTTGCTGGTAGCCTACGTGGAGGAGATTAAGATTGGGACACGTCACGCCTAATCCGCAGAGGAGCAGGTCATCCGCGTCATAGACGGTTCGGTCGGCGACTATAAGATGGGTAAGCAGCGGGAATCGCGCGAGCGACTTAAGGAGCTTCTGCGTGGAAATTTCGTGTGTCACGTGGACGTAGGTGCGGCCTAGGCAGGATAGTTGGTACCAGCGCTTGCAAACTAAGGCGTGGTCGAAGGAGCGGCGCGTGACGTAGTGTAGAACGCGAGCTAAAACATCGTCAGGTAGGTCGTTAAGAGGGAACGGCTGAGTGCAGGCGAAAAGCCGCAGCGAGGTGGAAGGGAAAAAAGAGCTCCACATGTTGGATTGGACGTGCCTCCTAATTAGGGTTTGAATAGGCAGCCTACCAAGGTAGGAGCTGGGACAAGTGATGGTGCTAATGCTTGGAACATAAGTCAGGAGCTTAAACTGGACGCAACTAACGATCCGCACGGCAAGAAACCGATGCTTCGACGAAAAGCACGTGCCATGGTGAGGGGGTAAGGTGCGAGCTTCGCACAAACAAAGCCACAGTGGGTCACTACTAATTGGAAATTCCACCTCGATGCAATTAGGGTGGGGGATCAGGGAAGCGGTGTGACTGTAAATGCCCTAGACTCTACTGTTTGGTCGGTTCAACCAGATAGAGTGACCTAAACGAATTCACGAGCGTTCAGCTGCGTCTGCGAAACTACTAGAACACCCTCTTTCTCGCCATTGTGAATTCGGTTATAGTGAAGTCAAGATGGGAAAAGCACGGTTAACGGTGGTTAGATTAAGTCTAGGTATGGTTCAATCAGACAAATCGAAGGTAACTAGGTTTTCCATCAGTTCAGCACAGTTCAGTGTAGTGAGAAAGAGGGCGAATTCGGTAGCAACGTCTTCGTGTAGAGAAGAGACGAGTGTGTGAATGGGGCAGTTTGCAAGGTCGTATCGCGTGGGGCCTGGTCCTCGGGGTCAACCGTGGACGACCTGACCGAAACCAGAGCAACAGCTCCATTCATCGTCACCGTCGCGACGTTTGGTCGAATAGTAATCCGACGGCTTTCATTTTGTGGGTGATTCGTGAAGCACGGAAAAATGTTGTCTTTGGCAGGAAAACACGCGGAAACGTCATATGCCGTGTGGCTTGGGGCAAGCTGGGTTGGCGTGTGATGCGCCTTGCAACTGCAATTGTCCATAGCGCGTCACCGAATTGATGCGGTACAGAATCATTCGCTAGCCTCATAGCATGGTAGACCTCTCTGTTATTTGCTACGTGTTGTCGCATAGACAGGACAACTAATAGGAACTTATGCAACCATCCTGCATTCTGGCTTTCTTTTTCACTACACACGTGTAATATCTCTCAATCTTCATCAACCATGTCATTAACTTGCTCTAGGAAGTTGCGCACTTGTGCTGCTGAAAGGAGCATCACTAGGCGAAGGTGTTGAAAGCCCTTCAGCTGTCAAAGCAACCATGAAATGGGTAGGGGAGGGGAGGGGAGGTGGGGGGGGGGGGGGGGGGGGGGGGGGGGGGGAGGGTGGGGGGGTGGGGGGGGGTAGAATTACGGTAGTGAGAGCGAGCCGATGGGGGGGAACGAAAAGGGAGAGGGAGGAGAAGAAGAGGGATTGGAGGGAGCTAGGGGGTTGAGGAGGAAATGTAAGGGGTACAAAGAGGGGAGCATACAACTCTCTACACATCACGACTCACATGCACCTGTACCAGAAACACGACTACCGGAATGAGCAACTGAGGACAGCCGGAGCATGATAAAAGCTGACAAGCAGATTGTTAATGCCAGTTGTTTGGGTGGTTCGATGTTCAGCAAAACCTTACTAACAAGGTTGGAGACCTTCGATTGTATTTGGATGACAAGCGCAAAGAGAGAGAGAACTGGGAAGGGACACCCTAGCTGACCTGTCTGGAGGCCATGACGTCAGCATGGACTGGGAAGGAATATGATGATGTGGCGAGCTGCATGGCAACAGATGGGTGGGAAATGGTGCGAAGAAGCAAGCAGAGCACATGAGACACATGGTGGACTTTTGAGGTGCCTCAAAAGAATGCACTAACTCGGAGCCATGAAGCATGTGGCATGACATGTGGTATGCAGCGGGATGGTGAAAGATACAGATGCATGGTGGATGCGGCTGCACAGGATGGCCTACCTTCTTGAGCAGCTCGTCCTCTGGCTTGGGAAAGAACAGCTCTGAGGCGCTGCTCCCCGCTCCCTTGGCCTGCTTCCTTGCCGCCTGCACACGGCCATGCGGCATTGGATGACGGCATATGGTCACATCAGCCGACTTGGGTTACTCGTGCAATGGTGATGAGATGCGGTCATGTCAATGCATGAGGACTGCATGGAAGGCTGGATCTAGACTTTCACATCTGCAGGCTTGCCCATGGCTGTGGTGCCTGCCAGGTGGGTGCCAGGTGGGTGCCAGGTGGGTGCCAGGTGGGTGCCAGGTGGGTGCCAGGTGGGTGCAGGCCGTGGTGTGACCTTACATGGTGAGGTCAAACCACAGAAGAAGTGTGTCGAGCCTATTTTATGGTCGACTCAAAAATAAGTGTGTCCAAAGGGTGAAAGGATGCAATTACATCATTGCAGCATTGTTGCCACATCCCTGCTTTATACAAATGGGTGCTCTGCAGCTGTAACCTGAGCGACCATGCGTTACAAGAACTCCTGTGTAGAATTGAGCACAGCCATTACCTTGCCGCCTGTCTGGCGGTACATGCGCGTGAGAATCAGGAACTTCTCCACCGGTGCTCCCTTCTCCAGCTGCCACGTGGACCAATAAGGGGGAGAGTGGCGAGGTAACTTGGGAATACAGGTGGAGGGGGAGGAGGGGATAGGATAGGAGGAGGAAAGAGGCAAAAGAGGATGGTGAATCTATGGCTTTGCAAAACTAAGGCGCACCACCTGTACCTCTCCTCCTTGTGAGAGAAGAGAACCCCCTGGATTGTTGTGCAACAGCACAGATTACTGACCCACCATGGGCTGCAGCGGTTTCAGGTTTGGAGTTCCGGTTTCAGGGTTTTGGGTTTGAAGGATGTGAGATTTCAGGTTCAACGTTTTAGCTTTTAGGGTCCGTGACCCACCATGGGCTGCAGCATGCTTCTAAAGAGGTGTGGCCACCACGCTCACTCAACCCCTTTGCATCTCCCCCATCCCCACAGCTCGGGGTTTTGGATTCAGGAGCACAAATGCGAATATGGGTTTATGGATTCAGATTTGGGGTTTCGGGTTTTGGCTTCAGGGACCTATGACCCACCATGGGCTGCAGTGTGCTTCTGAAGAGGTGCGGCACGAGTTGGAAGGGCAGGTTGGCCACACGCTCGCACACCACCACACCCACACGCCCCCTCTGCATCACCTTCCACAGCTCGTCCCACTGTGCCCTGTTGTCACACCCCTCATGCAGGAACCGGACAAAATCCGCCGTCCACCCCTTGGACTGCAACGGCAGTTTGGTGGGGTTGTGCGCGGGATGGATGAGGATGAGGACGCGACCATGAGTTAGAATAAGAGGATGGTGATGAAAGGGCAGGTGGATTATACATGAGACTAGATGCACAAGCGAGCTGCTGATGTTAAGCTGCTCCACTGCCATGCCTTAGGATTCACAGAAAAAAGTTTTGAGGCGTCTCAAAACTGATGCTAAGCTGGTTCACTGCCATGCCTTTGGATTCTCCTCAAACAACAGCATTCATCAACTCACAAGGCATGGCATGGCATGATGCACCCGGTGTCACCTCACCTTGCAGATCAACGGCAGGCAAGCAGAGAGCCCCAGAATGCTCCCCTCATCCCCTGCTTTCACCACCGTTGCCACACTCCCACTCCCACTCCCACTCCCACCCCCACCCCCACCACTGCCAGCAGCGTCCCCTTCCCCGGCTGCGCCTCCTCCCGGAGTTCCCGAGGTGACCGCGTCCACAAAGGCCGGCAGGTCCCACCGCTTGCCGTCCAGGAAGGTTCGCAGAAGCGCCTTCACGCCGTGGTAATCCGACGGCTGGGCGTCAAAGAAGTCGAAATCGACCATCAGGATCTGGTGGGGGTGGGCGGAATGACGAGGGATGGGAAGGAAAGCGGTCATGGAAGGGAACTATCACGGCATGGAAGGCAATATGAAAACAGACACAGCCAGCAAACACTCTGCCTTCGTACCACGGCTAAAGAACTAGAAGCTGCGGTAACCCCCATTTCTCAATCTCACAGCAAAATAGATCTCAACCGTCCAGTAGTGCGTCTAGAAGAAATCCTGAATCCTATCGTTGGTGATTCATTTCTGGTTATGTGACCCGCAAGCACTCAACCCTCCAAAAGCTGTCAGTACCTCCTCGTCGCCTTTCTTCTCGCCGTCGCCGTCGTTCCCTTCATCTTCCTCCTCGTCCTCTTCCTCCTCGTCCTCCTCTCCTCCCTCATGCTCCTCACGATCATCCTCCCTATCGTCGTCCTCCTCCTCTTCCTCTTCTACGTTCTCATTGGCCGCGATGTCAGTTTCCGCTCCCTTTAGCGACCGTTTCTGCTTCAATCTCTTGTCTAGAGCGGGCGAATCAACTCTGGCGCCGTCTCTTCCTCCGTTCTCCCCGTCGGCATTCCCAATGGGTCTCAGACCTAGAAGTTCCAATTGCTGGTCTTCTGACAATCGATCTAGTAGCTTCCGGAGTCGTCGCCGCGAATCCCGGCGTGACTTCACTACAGAGAAGGGGTTGTTGAACGGCGGCAAGCCGAAAAAACTCGAACTGGCGAGGCTGCGAACCATGGTGACATGCAACACGAACAGGTCCAATCAGCAGAGCAGGTTTTAAATAATTTTTCAGAAAAGTTGCTTTCCTTCTTGTGCACACGGGGGTGTAGCTCACATGGTAGAGCGATCGCTTCGCATGCGATAGGTAAGGGGATCGATACCCCTCTCCTCCACCAACCGAATTTGCTGCTGTCTTGTCGTCAATCTATAACCATTTTGTGTTTTCTTATGAGATGCAGTGTCCGTACAGGTTTAGCCACTTTGGTGGTGACCTACGCACAGGGAGACTAGACATTGCTTTTATGCATGCTGTGACATTAAATTTGAGAACGCTTGTGAGAGCAAGCCACACCTATTTGGGAACCATACCCTTCCTGAGGCCATCCATCCATTCATCCATCCATCCATCCATCCATCCATCCATCCATCCATCCATCCATCCATCCATCCATCCATCCATCCATCCATCCATCCATCCATCCATCCATCCATCCATCCATCCATCCATCCATCCATCCATCCATCCATCCACTTCATCACAGCAATCCCTGGAGGGGCCTGTGTACTGTGTATCACTCTACATCCCTGGGCATCTGCATGGCCATATGACACCCTTGCCTGACAATGGACACTACTACCATAGCATACTCCTAACCGTATGTTGTATGTCTACTGTATTCACTTCATGCTACTGCTTTTGATCGCCATGTCTGTGCCTCTCAGTATCCCTGAGCACTCGTAGAGCCATGGGGCGCCATTGCTTGGCCGTAGACACTGACAGACCCATGCCAGTTGCCAGGCCCTTGAGCAGCATCATGGTGCGCACTATAAAGAAGATGTCTGCTGGGAAAGCCTGTGGCGATGAAGGGAGCACGAGCAGAGAATTGCCAACGTCGAAGACTCAGGAACAACAAATGCCCGCAAGAAGACACTAGCTCTAAAAAAAACATTTGTCCGAAGAAACGGGACAGGCTGGTTGACAAAACAAATCACTACCCCTGATCCATTCCCAAACCTTACCTTCATGGCATTGCTCTTGAGTGAGCTCTCCGCCCCGAACGGGTTGGCACTGGTAACTCCGTTACCAGAGCCGGTATCAAACATGATCATGGCCATGCGGCGGAAGCTGTTGGGGTGCTCCCCGGCTGTCTTGGCCGTCTCTATCCCCATGGCCGTGAAGCACGAACCCACAGCCAGCATGTCCTCATCGGCTATTGCCACCACCAAGCGAGCCAGATTGAGCCTCAACGCTTCGGGAAGCTGCTTGGTCTGCCCATAATCTAACAGAGCCACCCTGCCGCCCGCGCACACGAGGATATTTCCTGGATGGGGGTCTGCGTGAAAGTGGCCGTGCTGCAGCAGCATGCGGCCATACGCCGTGGATAGCGCTGAGAATATGCGACTGCAACGTGGGGGGAGGGGAAAGGGCAGGAGGTTAAGATTGTGACGATGGGAGGGTGGGGAGGAGCGCGCTAGATTGAGCCAGAGCGCCTCATGCAGCTGCTTGGTCTGCCCATAATCTAACAGAGCCACCCTGCCCACCGCGCACACGAGAATGTTGCCCGGATGGGGGTCCGCCTGGAAGTGCCCGTGCTGCAGCAGCATGCAGCCATATGCTGTTGATAGCGCTGAGAATATGCGACTGCAAGGGGAAGGAGTTTGTGTATGAGGAAAAGGGAGAGGGTGAGGATGGATTGTGAGGAGGGGAGGAGCGGCCCTGTACGGGAGGAGGGGAGGAGGGGCCCTGTACTCCCCTGTACGTGAGGAGGAGGATGGATCTCTGGCAGCTGCTTGGACTGCCTGTAGTCCAGCCGTGTACGGCCGACTTTTGAGTCGACTCAAAAGTCACCTTGGACTGCCTGTAGTCCAGCCGCGTACGCCCGCACGCTGCTGGTAGTGCTTAGAAGATGCGACTGGGAGGGAAGCGGGGGCACGGGACAGAGGGGGAGTGGTAGAGTGGGACGACGGTGAGGATTGGAGGCAGGGAGGAGGGAGCTTAGAGTTGGACGTGGCAGGCAGGGGCGAACAAGGGCAGGCAATGAGAGTGGCCATGGCACATCATGTGAACCTAAGGAGAGGCAAGGGGTATGCAAACACGAGTACCCCACCCAGCCCCGCCTGACCCCATCCCACCCAACCCACCGCACCTCTTGGTCTCTTTGGCCAGTGCAACACTGGGGCTGATGCCTTGCCAGAAGTCTCAGAACGGGCGTGTCCTCAGCAAGGTGTACACAAACGCGAGTACCCCACCCAATCCCGCCCAACCCCATCCCACCGCACCTCTTGGTCTGCCTTGCCAGTGCGCCACTGGGGCTGATGCCTCGCTTGCGCATCTCCTCAGGCAGTCTCAGGATGGGCGTGCCGTCTATGAAGTCCATCACCAATAGGCCCCTGGGAGAGCCACGAAAAGGCAGGTGGAGGAAAGAGGGGCAAGCAAGAATGCCTCAAATGAAGAATGGACTCAGAATGGACGTGCCGTATATAAAGTCATCACCAGTAGGCGCCTGGGATTGACACAGTGAGCCACAAGTGGGCAAGACAGGAGACTACTTGTGAGGAGCAAGGCGTTATTGAAGTGAGGAGGACTGATAGAAGAAAGGGGGGAGCAGCGGAGGAAGAAAGGCAGAAGGCCACTTGAATGTCTAGCAGACGTCATAAACAGCACAGCATCTCTATCTGCTGAATGGGGCCACAGAAGCACAAGTGGCACCTGGCAACGGCAGCAGTAGTGGCACCTGGTGATAGCAGCAGCAACAGCATTACCTGGTGACAAGGCCTGGTATGGCTGCTGGCACAATGACAGGTGACGCCCGTGTGTCCATCTCCGCACTCCGCCCACCACCTTCAGCCCCGCCTTGCACAATGACATGTGCCCCTTGTCGATCCTCAGGCCTTGCCTTCTTCCCCGCATGCTCCACCCTCCCCAACGTCTCCACCCTCTCCACCCTCTCCACCCTATTCGCCCTGCTAATCCCTCCACGACCCACACCATGTCTGCCTGTGCGCCTGCTGCTCCGCATCCCCCCATGCCTCTCCCACCTACCCCCTGCCGTCTCGCCCCCGTCCCGCTGTGCCAGGGCGTGTCTGATGCGCTCCATGGCTGCTGCCTCGTGCTCGAAGTCAAACTCGTACCGGATCTGCAACACAGGGACGAGGGAGGAGGGACACAGGATAAGAACGAGGGCAGCACATACCCGTTCGTATCGGCCAGTAGTGCCGTTGAGCCGTTTCCGATATTTGAGCTGTCCGGGAAGTTCATGGCTGCTGCCTCGCGCTCAAAATCAAACTCGTACCATGCACCATGCACGGGGCGAGAGAGAGCAGCACACTACTAATGGGGTGACAATGCACCATGCACCATGCACCATGCACCATGCACCATGCACGCACCTGCTGCTCCAGCTCAGAAATGGGACCCAGCAGGTCCACTTTGAGCTCGGCGCGCTGCAGGAAGGCGCCAAAGAGACGCAGATTTGCCAGATCCATCAGCATCAACCGCTCTGCTCCCGCGCGCTGCACCTGTGGGGCGGGGTGGAAGTGAAGGGGGGTTGAGGAGAGGAGAGACGTGAGCGATGAGGCACATCTAGGTTCATAAGAGTGGTGAGAGCAGTGGGCGTGGTAGAGACGCAGATTTGCCAGGTCCATGAGCATCAGCCGCTCTGCCCCCGCGCGCTGCACCTGTGGTGTGAGAATGAAGGGGAACGCAGAGGGCGAGGAGAGAGGAGGGAACTGAGGGGCAAATAGGTGTGTGAGCGATGAGAGGACTGGGCGTAGCAGAGAGCTTGTGCTCGCGCGCCCATGAGAATCAGGTGCTCTGCTCCCGCGCGCTGCACCTGTGGTCTCTTTTGAGACGTCTCAAGAGTCACCTGTGGTGTGCGGATAAGAGGGTGGAGAAAGAGAGTGAGGACGCAAGCATGCCTATCTTATCACACAACGCCATACCACCCCATCATGCATAGGCCCTGCCTGCCTGCCATACAAGCACAGTCATGCGCACGGTGCCCCCTGCACATGTGCTGCTTGCTTACCTTGATCGCAACACGGCGCCCATCCTTCAACCTGCCCCTGTGCACCTGCTTGCAATCCGCCCCCATCACACACACACACACACACACAGAGGCACGGTGCAGGGGAGGGAATGACAAAGAAGACTGAGGATTGAGTAGAAGACGGAAAAAAATGGGCAGACCATGGGCAGCGTTGATTGCAACAAGCACTTAGTCACAATCATACCACAAGGCATTCTGCTCCTTTCCCTTCCCTTCCCCCCTCACCCTTCCCCAACTCATCCTCCCCCTTCATTCTTACCCCACCCACCATCCTTCCCCCACCCACCATCCTCGCACACTGACCTGGGCAATGGACGCAGACCCAACGGGCTCTTCCTCAAACTCCGCAAACACGTCTTCCAGCCGCACCCGTGCCACGTCAGCAGCGCTTGCCACGTCACTCCCTGCCACGTCAGCACGTGCCAGCTCAGCCTCGACGGTGCGTCGGACGAGAGGGAAGGGGTCTGCGGGCGCACTGTCGTGGAGAGGGGCGAGACGACGCACCCAGGCTGGGGGGGACATGTCTGGCTTGGCTAGGAACTGCCCTGCCTGGTGGGGGAAGGAGGAGGAGGGTGAGAGGGGAGTTTATGGTTGGGGGCTCAGGGTTTAGGAACATGTGTGGCTTGGCTAGGAACTACCCAGCCAGGTGGAGAAAGGAGGGATGGGGATGGGGATGGGGATGAATGAAGAGTGGAGATGGCATCTCTATATGCAGAAAGGACATGTGTGGCTTGGCTAGGAACTGCCCTGCCTGTTGGCTCGGTGCAGAGCGGGGTGCTGTATCTCCGCGCCCGCCGCGGTTACTTTTGAGTCATCATTGCTGCAGCCGTACCTTGAGGAAGAATCGCTGCTTGCGGTTGTGGGAGGTGACTGAAGGACACGCTCCTAACTGTCGCCTTTTGAGACGTCTCAAAAGTCTCCTAATTGTCGCAGCGGCGGCGGTACCTTGAGGAAGAAGCCCTGCATTTCGGTGCAGAGCGAGTGAAGTATCTCCGCACCCCGCTCGTGCTGCTCCTCCCACGCCGCCCGCCGCTGCTCCTCACTCAGCCTGCTTACGCGCACGCGCAGCTGGCACAGCTGATGGGGCTCGTATGGGGATGGGGGGCGGGGGGAAAGAAAGATAGAACCACGCAGCTGACTTCTGAGTCGACTCGAAAGCCTGCCTAGGCGCACGCGCACCCGGCACAGCTGATGGCGCTCACATGGGTATCGGAGTGGGGGAGTGGAAGTGAGGAAATGTGGAAGCAGGCGGAAAACGCGTGCGCGTGCGGACCTAGGAAACTACTATTGAGAGTCCACGGAACGAGCACTGTGGAAGGAATGGACTTTCTTGTCTACTGCATAGGAAACTGCCTTGGCTGCACAACTCACACGGCTCGTTATAATCACCTTGTTGCTGCCTCGTTATAATCACCTTGTAGCTGCCGTACAGATGCACGGCTCGTCTCCAAAAATCGACAATGCGGTGCAGCGCCTGCTGCTGCTCCCGCCAACCCTCCACCTTCCTCCTGCTACCGCCGCCGCTGCCAGCAGTAACGCTGCTAGTAGCGTTGGTAGCGCCGGTAACCCTGTTTGTCCCCCGCGCCGTGGCGCTCCCCGTCTTGTCATGCGAATGCCATGGCGCGACGGACAGCCCGCTGCGGAATTGCGACTCCGCCTGCACGATCCGATCCTGCAGCCATCCCGCGAGCTCGGCGCGCAGCGCCTCGGGGCTCGATCCTACGACGGAATTTCCGTTACGGTCGGTCGAGGCGACAAGAGAGTGCTTCATGATCGAACCAGGCGGGTAACAAGGGCGGTAACGAAGCTTGTTTGGAATTGACGAGTAATGGGTGGCAGTTTTCAAGCTAAATCGTTAGGGCATGGGCCTGACATGACGAGACGATGAAACTGTATGAATCACACTTAGTCCACGATTAGAGATTGCATGAACGATAATCTATAATTATTATGGGACGAGGACGCCATGAATTATTTACCGATGATGTCATTTTGGGTACGCTGCTGCAACGCCTGTAATAAGGGATGCTTGCGATGGTTTGCGAAACTTAGCAGCTGATTTCGGGGATTGAATCCTTCGTGTTCTGCGCACAGAGCTTGTTTCAAAGGGCACCGCAACAGCTGGGCGAAGAAGTGGGGAATTGTGATGGTGTTGCGAGTTGTTGCGAAATGACTCTCGCCACCATACATGTTACTCGAGACAAATCTGACACCTTTTTGTCAGAGGCTCGTCAGCCGCAATACACGGACCAGAACGGTAACCGTGTTTGAACTGAACGACACCGCATAAGTAGCAGTGCCCTTGTGGGAGGCTCCAACGCAACATTCCCAGTTCAACATTCTCCAGCGCAACATTCTCAAGATGGCTTTCTGAACAAACTGTTCAAGAAAAATGTTTCCGGTAACAGATGTTAATACGGATTACGAAAGCGTTCATAAACGGTGCATCACGGTACACTTCTACGTTCAAGTCAAAGAGCATTCGACCTCACATGCCCACCACATACTTAGCAGATTTGTACTCATGTCGCGCCACGAGCCTCCACGCACCAACGTCACCTTCGAATTGCTGTGCTGGCTATCTCTCACGAGACGTTCCTGATCATCGGCGGCACGTAGGTCGGCAGCAGGATGACGGAAGTGACGCACGTTGAGCTTGCCTCTAATGCGGTAGTAGTGGAACAGCAGGTCCGCTTGGCCCGGGTAGCATTAAATGATAAAGGGACGGTCCCGCCATGAGTTCGTCGTAACTGATTCATTCTTTCAACCAACCAAGGGTAACGATGGTGGCTGCGCGTTTCCTTTCGACTACATTGGCACGGGTAGTACTAGTAGCGCTGGTGGCGCTCCATGGGGATATTCCAAAACCTCGACACGTACTACGTGGCCTTATACGTAGTACGTGTCGAGGCCGCCTTATAGTATAAGGCCAAGTACATCGACGCCGCCGTGTCGCGCAGCAAGGTATCCTGAACGTCCCTCTGATACCTGAAATCTCCTCCCTTGCTGCCAAGCCGCCTTATAGTATAAGGCCAAGTTACATAGACGCCGCCGTGTCGCGCCTTAGAAAGAAGGCGGCGAACGTGCGTCTGTCGCTCGTGATCGAGCCCGACTCGCTGCCCAACATTGCGATTAACTTCGTCACAAAAAAAATGGGGGAAAATCCTTGCTTTTGCATTGCCCAAGGACTGTTGTTAGTTTGTCCCCAGCACCAATGCTGGAGGTCTATCTAGCGGAATGCTCACCAAGCTGAGAAGTGTTTGAGGATTGATTGGAAGGATTGCCTTGGAAATTTTCGTTAGGCTCAGCAAGGAGTGCCTCAGCATACACAGAACAGTTCTCATACTCACTACACGGATCGTGGGAATTTCATACAAGGCAAACTTGTAACGGACCAAAGAATGTTACTACAGTACACCCTGCTCGATCCAGAATACAATATTACCGTATACAAAACAGCATCACATTAAGCAACACGCATAGAGAATTTGTCACATTCTGTCCTGACATTGTGTGGCAAAAAATAGTAAACGTTTGGCATGTTTATTGTAGGTTTATGCAATATCGTACATTTTATAAACATTCACAATCAAGATGGTCTAGATTTAACCAAGACAAACAAGCGGTGACCATTTGCTCAACAGGACAAAACAATACCATATTTACACCCATAATTGCAGCATGCACAATGGTAACAAACAGGCCGACACTTCAAATCTGCAAAGAGCAACGAGAATGTTACAGTGGACTTATCTAACTTGCATGACGCAGATGTTGACCGAAACTGTTTCGCCGTCTGGTATATACTTCCGAAAGCAGGGACAAATTCGAAAGGCACGTAGAATGCTCATGCACCCTGTTACGAACGGATTTCTCCTGGGAATATAACAGACATGGACAAGATGCATGTTTATGTCAGAATGAGGAATGGATGATGCCATTGATGTTGGTTGGGGTACATATGACAAACCCTAACTTCTGTACCCCCTAAGACAAACCTCACTATAGGCTACAACATTTGACACACCCCCATAGCCTAAGTGAGGGGTGTCTAGCAAAATAAAAAGAGTACGGTCACAAGACCAGTCCAAAAGAAAACAAAGCTCAGGGTGGATCACAACGTCACCACACACTCTGAGCACAAGCAACAGTGGCCACAAGGCCAGTCCAAGAGATCACAAGTATATATAGCAAGAGTACAGACGAAGCAGCCAATAAACTCAAGCCTACACATGACTAGAACCTGTGTCAACAAGGCCTAACTGCACACAACACCTCTGGTGGTCACGAGGCGGAAGCGCCTTGGTGAAGATGTCTGCAGTGTTGGCCTCGGACTCCACAAACTCGAAGCGAGCCTGTCCACGCCTCTGCAACTCTCGCAGAAGAAAGTACCTGACGTGAATGTGCTTCACTCTGCTCTCCAGTCGCGGCTCACGACAGAGGAGGATCGACGCCTTGTTGTCAGTGAACAAGGTCGGTGCAGAGCTCGGCCGCTCACCAAGGTCGGCGAGCAAGAAGGTCAACCACCGCAACTCCTGTGCCGCCATGGCACCAGCGTAAATCTCAGCCTCAGCTATAGAGGTCGAGACAGAAGAGGAGCGCGTGGAACGCCAGGAAACAGCTCCAGAACCCAGACTGAAACAGTACCCCTGAGTAGACCTGTGAGTCTCAGCGTCGTCAGCGTAAGAGGAGTCACAGTGACCAGTGAGTACGACAGACTGCTGCCCTCCAAGAACTAGCCCCACGCCTGATGTAGTCGCTAGGTACTTCGCCACCCTCACAGCTGCCGTCCCGTGAACAGGACGATGTCTCCCTGGCGCAACAAAGCGCGCAAGGATGCTGAGAGGGAAGGCGAGGTCCGGGCGAGTACAAGTCATCAGGTACATGAGGCAACCCACAAGCTCTGCGTAGGGACCACTAGGCTCAAACGGCTCGTCAGGAAAGGGACCAGTGAGTCTGTGGTCAACAGCGAGAGGTGTGCGCTGTACGGTGGAGTGCTGAAGCCCGAACCGCTGAAGGACCTGCTGCACCATGTGTGACTGTGAGAGTGTAATGGTGCGAGCGGCTCTGTCCCTGGTGATCTGCAGGCCAAGGTAGTGGCGCAGCTCACCAAGATCAGTGCACGTGTGTCTCTTCTGCAGTTCGGACTTCACGTCTGCCAAAGCAACCCTGTCCGGAGTGGCGAAAACGAGGTCGTCGACGTAGACCAGAACAAAGAACGGTGTGGAGCCACGACGAACGAACAGCGACGGGTCGGCAGAAGACGGCTGGAACCCAAGGTCAGAGAGGGTAGAACGCAGAGTGTCGTGCCACTCACGAGGGGCCTGGCGAAGACCGTAAACATGTCGCCTCAGCCTCCACTGGGTCCCAGGAGGGAAAGTGCCAGTGAAGGCCGAGGGACGACGCAACCAGACCTCCTCGTGTAGGCTGCCCTGAAGGAAAGCAGTGGAGAAGTCGAGAGAGTGTAACTCGTAGTCTCTCTGTGCTGCTACGTGTAGTAACACCCGAAGAGTGGTCATCTTCGGGGTAGGTGCGAAGGTCTGAAAGAAGTCAACTCCCTCGCGCTGACTGAAACCTCTAGCCACGTAGCGCGCCTTGAAGACCGGGGGAGATCCTGGTGGCCGCTTCACCCTGTAGATCCACATGCCGTCGACTACGTTCGCCCCAGGGGGGGGAACCTCATCGACGTAGGTGCCTGTGGATCTGTAGGAGGCCATCTCTGCGTCCATGGCAGCTCTCCACTGAGAGGCCCAAGGCCCTGACATTGCCTCAGCATAAGTGCGAGGAGTCGGAATGTCAAGGGCGTCGGGGTCACCCTCAGGGGCGAGGAGCATGGCACAGAGATGAGGGGAAGCGGCCGCCAGGAACTCTAGCTCAAACTGCCTGTCCTCTAGGGCGTCACAGCCAAGGACAGACACACCCCCGACGACTAGAGGACTGGTAGGAGGAGCAGTCACAAGCGTGGTGGCGTAGTCAAGGCGGCGGGTAGAGGCAAAGTCAGTAACCGCGGCAGTAAGAGCGGACACAGAGGACACAGAGACACGAGGGTGAGTAACAAGAGAGGCGAGAACACGAGAGAGAACAGGACGGTACGTGCGGTAGTAGTCAGTGACAGGAGTAGGGAGCGACACAGTGAGGGCCGACTCAGGAGGAGACGGAAGCACAGACTGAGACGGACGAGGTGGACTAGTAAGAAGGAAAGCAGTACGAAGGTCAGTGAAGGGAACAGGAGACGAGGGACGAGCACGAGGGGAGCGACGAGTAGCCCAAGAACGAGACGGAGGAGGAGAGGACAAAGGCGGAGAACTGGGGAAAACAGCGGGGGAGGAGTCAGGAGGAGGAAACATGGGACCGTAGACAGGAGGAGAGGCGGAGGAGGGAGGAGAAGGGGAGGGGAGACCAAGGGTCCGAAGACCCGAGACAGGAGGAGGAAGCGGCTGCTGCTGCTGCTGCTGCGACTGCTGCTGCTGCGGAAGCGGCTGCTTCTGGGACTGCTGCTCCTGCGGGTCCAGCTGCTGCTGCTGCTGCTCCTGCGGCTCCAGCTGCTGCTGCTGCTCCTCCAGCCGCTGTAACTCCCTCTCCTCTCTCTCTCCAACGCAAGCTGCTCGTCACGGGCACGGCGAACACGACCCTGGTGCCTAGTCGGGTAGGGGTGGGGGGGTGGAGTAGCGTCCGAAGCAACGGCAGCTCCAGAGTCCACCCCAGAAGAACTAGGCGCACCACCCCCAGAGGCAGCACTGATCAGATCAACTAACTGCTCAGCAGACATGC